TGACAGACCCACTGTATAAATGTAGAAACCAAGATTCAGAGAGGATAAGTTATTTGCCCAAAGTCACACAGCTAGTAATTGATAGAGACAGGATTTCAGTCTACATCTTCCTGACTCCAGAGTATCCTCTCCTAACCATTGTGTGTACTACTGTGAAAGGTGAGTTCCTGTCCTGTTCTGTCTTGTCTTCTCTTCTCTTCTCTTTTCTTCTTTTTCTCCTCTCCTCTCCTTTCTTCTTTCCTTTTCTGTTTTTTTTTTTTTTTTTTTTTTCTTGTTCTGTCACTCAGGTTGGAATGCAGTGAAACCATCATGGCTAAATGTGGCCCCTGCCTCCCGGGCTCAAGCAATTCTCCCCTCTTAGCCTCCCAAATAGCCGGGCATGCACCACTGTGCCCGGCTAATTTTTACATTTTTCGTAGAGATGAGGTTTTACCATGTTGCCTAGGCTGGTCTCAAACTCCTGAGCTCCAGCAATCTGCCCACCTGTTCTTCCCGAAGTGCTGGAATTACAGGCGTGAGCCACCCAGCCACCGAGCCTGGCTATCCTCTTTCTTTGATTTGCTCTTCCCAAGAATTTAAGCAAAGTTCGCCTTGGAAATGGAATACCTTTGTTATATACGGTGATGAGCTGTGAAATGGAGGTGGAGATGAGGAGGGAGTAGCAATAATCACTGATTCTGAGTTCCGCAGCTGCTTCTGCTTGATTGGGACTTCAGGTAAAGTTCCCTTTCTCTTTGTTGGAGTAGTCCCATTCATAAAAATGGGATTAAAACTTTGCCAGCCGGGCGTGGTGGCTCACGCCTGTAATCCTAGCACTTTGGGAGGCCGAGGTGGGTGGATCACCTGAGGTCAGGAGTTCAAGACCAGCGTGGCCATCATGGTGAAACCCCATCTTAAAAAAAAAAAAAACTTTGCCACGAAGAAAACAAAGAAGAGAAAGAAGGCTAAAATATTGAGCTGAAATTGAGGGGAAAATATTTGAGTTCCATAGAATGGCCACATACTTTGCGTAAATATAAATTTAAAATATCATTAATGCTATGGTGATAATCACTACTTTGCAATTAATTAAGTACAGCCCTGGGAATCAGTTTACCAGGGTCATCTTGCCAAATGAAGACAGTTGGAAAATGCCTCCTTGTGCCTCAGGTCTCCCACTCCTGTCATCCACCACTCCCTCGATGTTCCTGTCAGGGGGACAACAGTTTGAATCTGCCCTGAGACACTTATAGGTCTCCTGCATTTGGCCTTCTTGCACAGTGGGGTGACTGTGGAGCAGATCAGCATTGAATGAGAAAGTATTTGTAAGCTTTTTGGCTGTGAGGGAGAGGCCAGCTTAGTAAAGGTGAGGCAAGGGGCCAGAGAAGATGATAGTGATGTCACTTAGATCCTCATGTCTGATGCTTTTCTTTTCCTTTCTTTCTTTTCTTTTTTTTTTTTTTTGAGATGGATTCTCACTCTGGTGCCCAGCCTGGAGTACAGTGGCGCTGTCTCGGCTCATTGCAACCTCTGCCGCCCGGGTTCAAGCGATTCTTCTGCCTCAGCCTCCCGAGTAGCTGGGATTACAGGCACGTGCCACCACCCCTGGCTAATTTTTGTATTTTTAGTAGAGACGGGGTTTCACTATGTTGGTCAGGCTGGCCTCAAACTCCTGACCTCAGATGATCTGCCCTCCTCTGTCTCCCAAAGTGCTGGGATTACAGGCATGAGCCACCATGCCTGGCTGATGACTGATGCTTTTCTGATGTGACTTTGAGAGCTGTTACAAACACAAGAGTTGATGGCCGTCAATCTTATATGCTGTACTTCCTATATGCTTGATGCTTTGTCTTATAGGAACCGGGCTAGTCTAACCCAGTCTTCCTTTGATTCACACTGGATGAGTGAACTACATGTTGGGGTCAGAATTCAGTGCTTTTGTATTGAGGATGTTACCTTATTACCGGAGGGCTGCCTTAAATATTCAACCTAATTTCAGCTGGTGCCTTTGCAATTCCCTGGTTATTAGTTTCTTGTGGGATGTATGTGGGAAGCGGAGAAGAGACCTGAGGGAACAATAGTGGGAGGATATGGGAATAGCTCAGTGTCACAGTTCTGTATTGGTAGTGCTTGGCTAAATTCCAGAAGTCCAGCAAAAGAGGGACTATCTTTTCTATTTTATTTATTCAGAGACAACATTTATTTATTATTTTATTTATTTGTTTTTAGAGACAGGGTCTGGCTGTATTGTCAGGCTGGAGTGTAGTGATGTGATCATAGCTCACGGCAGCCTCCAATTCCTGGGCTCAAGTGATCCTTCCATCTCAGCCTCCTAAGCAGCTTGGACTACAGGTGCACCAGCACACTCTGCTATTTTTTTTTCCCGGTAGAGACAGGGTCATGCTACATTTCTCAGACTGTGGGACCATCTTTTGAATCTGGCAAAACCCATAGCCTAGAGATCCAGAATTGCTTATTGATAAGTCATTTGATTTCTTCTGGATACAGGTGGCCTCCAAAGACTTTCAGACTCTACCTGAGCAGATGCTTGTTTATTGACAGGGAAGTTATTTTTCTAGATGAACTTTTAAAATCAATGGTTTTTAAATATCAGTGCACACCAGAATCACTCAATGGACACTGTAAACTATCTGGCCCCATTCTTAAGGACTATGATTCGGTAGGTCTGGGTTAGAGGTCAGAAGTCTGCATGTTTAACAGGCATTTTTGGTGATTCAGATGGTCAGCCTTAGAATTTGGCCCAGGTTTTGAACTAGTCTCTTTCTGCCGCAGTCTGTTTTAATCACCTTCATTGAAGGATTTATTAGCATCTCCATGTTTATTATCTGTTTCATTCTCATAGCATCACAGTAACTCAGGCGGGAACAAGAGGTGGTTAGCTCCATTTTATGGGATATAAGGAGGTGGAAGGTAGGATTGAGGCACTGGGAGAGGTAGGTCATGGTGAGTCAGAGACAGAGATGGGAACCGAAGTCCAAAATTGAAGACTCCCAAACCAAGCAATTTTCTGGGGCCTGTTTTCTCAGCTTGTGATTTTATATTTAATTGTAGTTATTCCCTGGGTCTCCAGTTCATTGTATTTGGGTAAGCAAAGCTTATCTGTGGTTTAAACAAAGTAGTTTAGCATCAGGGTGCCAGTTTTTGTTAGCATATCAAGGCTCTCTTAAGCTTGAGCTAATATCTAGAATAGTATGTGTGGAACTGACCTAATCTTCTTCTCTTTGTGCTTGCTTCCTTTATTATTTCTGAAGACTTTTTTTTTTTTTTTTTTTGAGACAGGGTCTCTGTCACCCAGGCTGGAGTGCAGTGGCAATCACAGCTCACTGCAGCCTTGACTTCCCAGGCTCAAGTGATCCTCCCACCTCAGTCTCCTGAGTAGCTGAAATGAGATATGCACTACAGGCCTGGCTAATTTTTTTTTTTTGTAGGGATGGGGATCTCACTATGTTGCTAGGTCTGGTCTTGAAGTCCTGGACTCAAGCAATCCTCCTATCTCGGCCTCCCAAAGTGCTAGGATTATAGGTGTGAGCCACTGCACCTGGCCAAGACTTTTGTTTTTGAGACAGGGTTTTGCTTTCTCACCCAGGGTGAAGTGCAGTGGCATGACCTCAACTCACTGCAGCCTTGACCTCCTAGGCTCAAGTGATCCTCCCACTTCAGCCTCCTGAGTAGCTGGGACTATAGGTGCACACTACCACATCCTACTATTTTTTTTTTCCTGTAGAGATGGGGTTTTGCCATGTTGCCCATGGCTAGTCTTGAACTCCTGAGTTCAAGTGATCTACCACATGCACCACTACCCCAGGTAAACTTTTTACATAAAGTATAAGGGAACAGATATCTCTTCTCCATACCTACAGAAATCATTATTGTTATTATTATTATTTTAGAGACAGGGGTCTCACTTGTGTTGTCCAGGCTGCTCATGAACTCCTGGGCTCAAGTGATGCTCCCACCTCAGCCTCCTGAGTAACTGGGAGTACAGGCACGCATTACCATGTTTAGCTAAATTGTTTTTATTATGCTGTGGTTATTTAAATTTACAAATATTAAGTAGGAAATAATGTGCTTTTGTTTCTAGTTCTTATGCTGCTAAAAAACCACAATAAATTTACAAAGTAAATACAAATGAAACCACAAAATGAATACTATTCAGTTAAATATATTACAGTAATTTAACATGACAAATGATGTATTTCGCTAAAACTGTCATCCCTCGTATTGTTACTATGGTGTTGCCTGCTATAGCTCAGCTGCCAGCAAGTGACTCCTGACATCTTAATTTTCTCACCATGTTTCTGTGTTACAGCTGTTGAGCACTGCAATCTTATGATGTCATTTGGCTATCATATTGTGCATGAAAGTATCATTCTCATTTTAAAACCACCTCTGTTCTTTTCTCGATATCCCAGAACAATAAAAGCAGCACTAAAACACACATGTAAATGTAGGCGCTGAAACTGTGTGGTAATACTGAGTTGTAAGGTGGTCACCCAAATAATTCAGAATATGCTTATGCAAATCTAAAAAATATGAAAATGAAAATAAAATTAAAACCCTAAAGAATACATTCACAGACCTAATTTGAGAAAAACTGTTCAGGTCTGCTAGTTCCCAAACTTTCATTACTACCAAAGGCTTTATCTGTTGTGCTTACTTCCAAGAACCCCATTTATTTATTTATTTACTTACTTACTTACTTACTTATTTATTTTTGAGACCAGGTCTCATTCTGCTGCCGAGACTGGAGTACAGTGGCACGATCTTGGCTCACTGCAACCTCTGCCTCCCCGGCTCAAGCAGTTCTCACTCATGTTAGCCTCCTGAGTAGCTGGGACTACAGGCGGCCATCACCAGCCCAGCCAATTTTTGTTTTTTTAGTATAGATGGGGGTTTCACCAAGTTGGCCAGGCTGGTCTTGAACTCCTGGCCTCAAGTGATCCACTCGCCTCAGCCTCAGAGCCCCATGTTTTAAAAAAGTTTGCCTCCTACACACTGCATTAATAGTTTTAATTTTATTAATCAGGCACATAGAATTACCATTTCAGGACTTGCGATCACCATATGTAGTTATCACTCCAAGCTGCTTAAATTCCAGTCTAAAACAAACAAAAAGGACATTCTAGTTATTCTGTGCTGCCCTGACACGGGTAGGTGAAAACTTGCCATTCAGTTTTGTAAGAAGGAGCTCCCAGATCTCCACTTCTTCCCCTTGCTGCCTCTGAGGACTCTTGGGGGTTTAGGGAGGCCAGTCTGGGTTTTCTTATTCAAGCAAAGTAGCCACCCCACCCAGTTTGGAAGGATTAAAGCTTGTCCTAGTTTTGCTTCATTGTTGTACTTCTAGCATGCTAAAGAGCTGAAAAATGGGAGGAAGAAAATACAACAGAAGGCACCATTCCAGTACCAAACTGAAAAGAAACACAAAAACAAGAGAGCAGCATGTTTTTAACAGCTTGCGTGGAAAAAATATTGACTGGGGAGTTTGGACAGCACTGTTCATTTTCTCTCACCGCCCGCGTTATTTGTCTTATGGAGCAGGAGCCAGATACCATTCTGGAGAACAGGCCGAGGGAAGAGGTGGAGGGGTTCTGTGGAAGCTTGAGGCTGAGCTGAGTAATTAGGGCTGGAGATCCTGTGGCTCAGTGCCAGGATGCAGTCAGGGGAGGTGCTAAAGCCTTCTTCCTCCTGGCCTCGGGCACTCTCTTTGGTCCGCCTGAGTCTTAAGAGGGCACAGCGCGGATCACCCAGGTAGGTCCCTGGCCCCTTCAGACGAGCCGGATGAATCACTGTCCCTGTTTCTTTCGGCTAGGGAAAGGACGCAGGGGTTCCATTCGCTTTCTCAGTCCACCCATCTTCTTGAGTTCAGACCTACAACTCCTGCATTGGGGGTCGGAAGGGAGCCTTAATCATCGGGACAGAAACTCAGCTCCTCAACCTCGGCTCAACTCGCGTGGCAGCTTTAGTCCCTCCTGCCAGGGCGCGGGGCGGGGCCTGGGAGCGGGGCGGGGGCTGGGCGCGGGGCGGGGCCTGGGCGCGGGGCGGGAGGCGGTGACCAGCAGTAGGAGGAGAAAGAACATGGCGGGCGCAGCGGGGCCCGGGACCTGCCCGGGAGCAGCCGGCGGAGGTGGAGACGATTCGCTATACCCTGTCGCGGTTTTAATCGACGAGCTCCGCAATGAAGACGTGCAGGTACTGGACTGAGCCCGGGGAGCCGAGGTGGGCCCGGTCGGTCGCGTGGTAGAGAAGGGGGAAGGCCTGTGCCGCGGTGGCTATGGCCGGGGGACTGATTGAACCGGACTCAGCAGAAACTTGGAAGGGCAGGCGAGGAAAGATCCGCGAGGGGACGTGGTGGCACGCCCCGACTCTCCCGGTGACCGCTCCAGTACCCCTGCTTCGGACCCCCTGAGGCGTCCGCCCGGAGCCTGGCCTTTCCAGGGCGGTTGTCCGGGAACCCGCTTCCCGCCTGGGCCGCCCCGCTTCGGGCTGTGAGGCAGCTGGAGGAGCGCGGTGCGGGGCCGAGACCGGGCTGGAGCGACTGAGGGCTCAGGATGCGCAGAAGCCCTTTGAAGTGTCCCGGAATCCCTTCGTCTCGGCCTAGAACTGGCTCGGCTTGTTGGGTAGAAAGAGGAGGTGGGATTGCCGATCAACCTGGACGTGTCGTATCAGCTTTACGGGAACTTTTCTTTGAAACGACAGGCGTTGTATTCGACCGTTTCACCTGCTTCACCACTGCCAAAGTGCCCTCTTTTAAAAATTATCTTACTTCCTGGGTGTTGTATTATCTTTCATTCATTTCTCTTCCGGGGCCTTCTGAGTGTTTCTCCTAGGAAATCTTCCGCTGGCTAGTGAGACCGAGTTACATTCCTCTTGGAAGTCCCTTAACAGTGAAATGTAAATGAAATGTTAGTTATCCTCATTCTTACCCGTGTCATTGTTTCACCTGTTAGCACCTTTTGTCTTTTGATCTAAATTTAACCGTTTCTTTACATTGATTTTCTTTCTCCTTTTCTGAAGCTCCGACTCAACAGTATTAAGAAGTTATCAACAATTGCCCTAGCACTTGGAGTAGAAAGGACACGAAGTGAATTGCTGCCATTCCTTACAGGTATGTGAACCTTTGTTTAAAGAAAGGCAGGGACATTCCATTTTCCAGTAGCTTTCAACACTGACTTTTTTAGTTTGTTACCCACATTAAAATGAGCCGGGTGGTTTATGTGCAAAAGAAACAGAACAGAGTATATTGTTACTTGTGGCTAGATATATTCAAACAATAACCATTTAGCTATTGGGAAAGTAATTGCTATGAGAATATGAATTTCCAATTTGTTGTGCAAAACAGATCTAGGAAGAGAGTTGATTGAGGAGAAGGAAGAAAATGCTGTTAGGATTTTGACTGGGCCACCTTACTGGTTGCATAGTGAATCTGGTCCTAGTTTTGCGTCAGTGTACGGCTGCTGTGGGAGAGCTGTGTTGATGAGTCCCTGTTGTTGTCACTTCCAGATACAATTTATGATGAAGATGAGGTACTATTAGCTCTTGCTGAGCAGCTGGGAAATTTCACCGGCCTAGTGGGAGGTCCTGACTTTGCCCACTGTCTGCTGGTGAGTATACTGCTGCTTACCCTCCTTCCAGAACTTTTGCAGTATAAATGATACATTGTTTCGTGACAGGCATACTGCAGCATTTTTTATACAGATCTTTTATGGGCAGATTATCATAATGTTAGTCACTGAGAGAATAAATAATGTAAGCATTTTGGACTCAACCCATTCTTTTTTTTTTTTTCTATGAATAAGATAACTTTGTCCTTCTGTGTCTGTATACGTATTAGTTTAGATGTAGGGAGAAAAAGGATTTGATTGTTTTTATGGTTCCCCTCCCCCCAGGTTGAAAGTCTTAATTCTCATCTAGTGGCATTTTGTCTTTCTCAGTATAACTTTTGCTTCTGACTTTGTGAGTTTGATGAATTTAGTTCAATTTAATTGACATTTATTGAGAGTCTGCTTTATCAGACACATCGTTAATTTGCAGTGTTAATGTGAGTGGGCTTGTGGTACAAGCCTGTATAGTACCAGCTACTCAGGAGGCTGAGATGGGAGGATCACTTGAGCCCAGGAGTTTGAATCCAGCCTGGGCAACGTAGTGAGACCCCTATCTCTTAAAAAAAAACGTGACCACCAGGCTGGGTGTGGTGGCTCAAGCCTGTAATCCCAGCACTTTGGGAGGCCGAGGCGGGTGGATCACGAGATCAAGAAATCGAGACCATCCTGGTCAACATGGTGAAACTCCGTCTCTACTAAAAATACAAAAAATTAGCTGGGCATGGTGGCGTGTGCCTGTAATCCCGGCTACTCAGGAGGCTGAGGCAGGAGAATTGCCTGAACCCAGGAGGCGGAGGTTGCGGTGAGCCGAGATCGCGCCATTGCACTCTAGCCTGGGTAACAAGAGTGAAACTCCATCTCAAAAAAAATAAATAAATAAAAATTACCACCAAAGTAAATGGAATGAGGTCCCTGCTTTTATGTGCCAGCAAATAATTACTGTGCAGTCTTATATGGAAAGATAGAAGTATCTACAAAATACCCACATAATAAAGGGGAGAAAGGGATTAACTCAGGGTGATCAGGAAAGACCTCTTGGGAGATGATGTTTGAACTGGGTTTTAAAAGATGACCAGGAATTCAACAGTTGGACAAAGTAGGATGTATGCTTCAGGGCTTTCAGTACTGGGTATGTAATACGATTCTCGCAATTTCGATCTCTAGCTCTGACTTTTCCATGGAACTCCTGAGGTAGATTGATTAATAGATAAGTATGAATGTGTATATATGGAGAGATCTATATTTTTCTATCTATGTATATAGGCCTGTGCTTTTTTCTACTTGTATGTCAAACAGGTATTTCAAACTTAACATACCCAAAACAAAACTTAGTTTTATCCTTCAAATACACCTCATTTAGTTATTCCACCTCAGTAAATGGGATCACCATCTGCCCAGTTGCACAAGCCAAAATTTAGAATATAATCTTGAATCCTCTTACCCTTGTTTTCCCACATCTGATCCGTTAGTAATTCCTATAGAGTCTAAATATATTTCAAATCAGCCCACTTTCTTCCATCCCTCCTATTACCAGCCTAGTCCAGACCATCATCATCTTTCCTCTAGATTGCTCTAGTAGCTTCCTAACAATACCTTCCACTCTTGCCTCTCACCCCACCCTTACAGTTCACATCACCCAGCAGATGGCTCACTGTCTGCCATGGCTCTTAGAAAATCCAAATTCTGGGCCGGGTTTGGTGGCTCACGCCTATAATCCCAGCACTTCGGGAGGCGAGGTGGGTGGATCACAAGGTCAAGAGATCGAGACCATCCTGGTCAACAAGGTGAAACCCCATCTCTACTAAAAATACAAAAAATTACCTGGGCATGGTGGCGTGTACCTGTAGTCCCAGCAACTCGGGAAGCTGAAGCAGGAGAATTGCCTGAACCCAGGAGGCAGAGGTTGCGGTGAGCCGAGATCACGCCATTGCACTCCAGCCTGGGTAACAAGAGCGAAACTCCGTCTCAAAAAAAAAAAGAAAATCCAAATTCTCTACCTTAGCTTACAAGACTTTTTAAGACTCGCTTCTGTAGGCTTATCATATGCCCCGTGGTACTGCATGAGAAGAGGTCACAGTAGGCAGGGGACAGACCTCAAATGCCTTGATAACCTCTTTCATTCACACTGGTCTTCTTTCTGTTCTTTGAACTAACCAAGCTCATTATTTATTACCTTGAGACTTTTGCCCTAGGTCTTTCCTATAATGAAATGCTCTCTTGAGCATTCTGTGGCTGGCTCCTTGTCATTCAGGGATCAGCTTCAATGCATCTCTTCAGGGAGGTTTTCCCCAAACACTCAACTTGAAATAGCCTCCCAGTCACCCGTTACCACATCATCCAACTCCTTTTTTCTACAGAGGACTCATCACCATCTTCTTTTCTTGATTGATTGTCTTACTCCATTAGAATGTAAATGCCACTAGAGTGAGGAACCTTGTCTGGTTTGTTTCTTCTGTGTCCCCAGTGCTAGAATACAACAATAATCATGTATTGAAAAAATGAATTTCAGAGGCTTGGAAGCATGAAACAGGCTGGGTTCAAAACTGCTGGAGTGTGGCCGGGCATGGGTGCTCACGCCTGTAATCCTAGCCTTGGGAGGCCAAAGCAGCAGGAGGATTGCTTGAGGCCAGCAGTTTAAGACAAGCTTGGGCAACATAGTGAGACTGCATCTCTTAAGAAAAAAAAAAGCTGGACATGGTGTCATTATGTCTAGTCATAGCTACTCGGGAGGCTGAGGCAGGAAGATGAGGAGTTTGAGACCACACTGAGCCATGATTGTGCCACTGGACTTCAACCTGTGCAGCCAGACCCTGTCTCTTGAAAAAAAAAAAAAAAAAAGGACTTCTGGAGTGTGAAGTGTTGAGGCTGGAGTAGGCAGGCAGAGTGGTCATCAAGGGCCAAGCAGAGTTCAAATCAAGACAACTCATAAGCAATTCTGAGGACCATGGCCTCATCCTGTAGTAGTGATAGCGATTATCCAGTGGTATTGCATGAGAGGGGATTACAGTAGGCGGGGACAGATGGTGAAAGGCCTTGGCAAGTGAAAAACAGTATCTGTTCAATGGGTTTCTGTAGGAAATACCCTGTAGGAAAGCTGAATACTGTCTACCTGTGTCAAATAATTTTCAGAATCTTTTATTAGATAACTTAATAACTCGTTATGCTTCTGTTTCACTTTTGGTTGGTTCTACAGGTGAGTTTTATGCTTTAAAATTTGTAGCTTATGGCATGTGTAGAATCTACCTGGATTACATGCAAACTCAGTAAGGCAGAGGTTCAGAGAGCCAGCCTGTTTATACTTTTTACTAGACCATGCCATATTCAGTTACTGATCCTAATCTAGACCATCCACCTGCTTTGGCCTCTTCTGTTTCTAAAGCTGTAAGCAAGGGGCCCTGCCATCTCTGTACTTTACTTTTTTTTTTTTTTTTGAGACAGAGTCTCTGTTATCTGTCACCCTGGCTTAAGTGCAGTGGCACAATCTTGGCTCACTGCAGCCTCCTGGGTTCAAGCAATTCTCATTCCTCAGCCTCCTGAGTAGCTGGAATTACAGGCGTGCACCACCATGTCTGGCTAATTTTTGTATTTTTCGGTAAAAACAGGGTTTCACCATGTTGGCCAGGCTGGCCCGAACTCCTGACCTCACGTGATCTGCCCATCTCAGCCTCCTGAGGGCTGGAATTATAGGATTGAGCCACTGCACCTGGCCGTCATTGTAGTTTTCAGTTGATTGTTCTGTCAGAAACTCCTGCCCTGTGGCTAATGGAAAGTTGCTGAATGTGTTCTGAAAAAAGCTATTTTGTATTCAGCATTTTATAGGTTGGATAAAAGGATGGCATGGAGATGGTGGATAAGGGTTGCTTGCACCTCTGGGAATGGTAGAATAATACTGAAAAGGCTGTGGACTCAGTGACCTGACAAGCTGTTATCCTGTAAATGTGGTGCCTAGTGTTGATCATGTTTTTGTACTTACTCTTGAGGAAATACACACGATCCTGTCTGAATTTGGCTATATATCTTTTAAACCTAGTGATTCAGCTCACAGTAATATTAATATTGTGTCAAGTCTCTTACACTGTGTCATTTGTAGACACCATCTGGGAATTGCCATCTGGGACATGAGATTTTGGCTTTTCTATAAAGTCGTGTCTTCGGGTTCTCTGCACCATATGTTATCACTGTGTGAGCTGAAAGTAACCATTTGGTGTGATGGAGCTAACATTCTGGTTACATGTACCACCTCCCTTCAGTCACTTTAAAAGGTGATAATCTGTTTCTAACCTGATTCAATAAGTTTTCTTCTCTGGTTTTCTTTTTTAATCCATTCAGCCTCCTTTGGAAAATCTGGCGACTGCGGAAGAGACTGTTGTTCGTGACAGAGCTGTGGAGTCCCTGAGACAGATCTCCCAGGAGCATACTCCCGTTGCTCTGGAAGCTTATTTTGTACCTCTGGTGAAACGCCTAGCAAGTGGGGATTGGTTCACCTCTCGCACGTCTGCATGTGGTTTGTTCAGCGTGTGCTATCCCAGGGCATCAAATGCTGTTAAAGCAGACATTAGACAGTAAGCTATGGTATTTTTTTGAGTTATTTGGGATTACTGGGGACTTGTAGCTGATAATTTACACAGTACTTTGTTATCAGTGAGTGACTGATACTGGGGTAGCAGGATTTATGATATCTTTTTTTTTTAAGAGATAAAGTCTTACTCTGTTGCCCAGGCTGGAGCACGATGGCATAATCATAGCTCACTGCAACCTTAAATTCTTGTGCTTCAGTGATCCTCCAGCCTCAGCCTCCCAGGTAGCTAGGACTATAGACATATAGACTAGCTCCTGGCTAGTTTTAAAAAAATTTTTCTGGCTGAGTGCAGTGGCTTGTTCTTAGAATTCCAGCACTTTGAGAGGCTGAGGTGGGAGGATTGCTTGAGTTCAAGAGGTCAAGACCAGCTTGAGCAACATACTGAGACCTCGCCTCTACTAAAAAAAAAAAATTAGCTGGGCATGGTGGTGTGCGCCTAGGAATATATTCAAATCCCGACTTGAATATATTCAGGATTTGAATATATTCCTAGCTACTCAGGAGGCTGAGGTGGGAGGATCACTTGAGTTCCCCCAACAAAAAAAGTATTTTTGGGGTAGAGATAGAGTTTTGCTGTGTTGTCCAGTCTTCTTTCAATTCCTGGCCTCAAGCCATCCTCTACCTGGGCCTCCCAAAGTGCTGGGATTACAGGTGCGAGGCGCGATGCCTGGCCTATGATGTCAGTTTTTAATCATCCAGTTGAATATGTTTTATTTTCATTACTTCTATGAGTAGAAGCCCAATCACTGATTATTGTAAGATAAAACCGCTGAAAGTCTGTGTGTGTAGGGGCAGCTTAGTCAGTGTTATTTGATGGGAAATATATTCATTGTTTTATGTTGCAGGTACTTCCGTTCCTTGTGCTCAGATGACACACCAATGGTACGACGTGCTGCTGCTTCCAAATTGGGTGAATTTGCAAAAGTTTTGGAGTTAGACAGTGTGAAAAGTGAAATTGTTCCATTGTTCACTAATCTAGCTTCAGATGAACAGGTAAACTAGCTCTTAGTATTTAAAGGGCACAGATATGCTCCTTTCCTCCAAATTTTCAGAATTTCTTTGGGGAGTTTTGGTTTTCTTGTTAGGATTCTTTTTGCAGAATTAGTGCTGATTCTGGTCTGGTTAAAGTGTAGCATGCTCATCTCAATGTTCTTATGTTTCTTTCTTAACCAGACCATGGTTTCTCTCTTACATTAGCAGCTGTTAAAAGAAGGGGGAGTCGGAGTGGAAATGGGAGCCATAATTGGAAAAGAAGACCAAAGCTCCATAGAGGCATAACATACCTTTGGGAATTGCTGGCTGTATTGTAATATGAGGGAGTAATGTTTCCTGGAATTTTTGACTTTTCAGATAAGTAAGCTTGGAATGTGTTAGGAAAGCTATCTGACCCTCTGCTTCCTGTATAGTAGTGCACAGGATTACTTCACATAATAGTATTTAATTCGGACGATCTAGATCTCTTCGATGTAGAAATAACAATAAAACTAGCAAATGTCTAAATTAAATACTTAATTTTTCTCTGCCTTTAAGTAATGTGTATTAAGTAATTCAGTCCTTACAACAGCCCATGAGATAGCCCATTTTACACATTAGAAAACAAAGGCACACAAAGTTTAAATAACCTGCTCAAGGTTGCACAGTTAGCAGTAGTGGAGTCAGGATTTGAATCTAGGTGGTTTGGCTCCAGAATTTGTGTCCTTCACAGCTAGCTCCCAGAGTTCCTGGACTCTAGAAGAGGCTTTAGTTTGCATGTTGTCTGCCCTAAGATCATTTCATATGTACAGGACCACAAGCACCAGGACACATATTAATGAGTCTCATTTTCAGATCCTAAATCTAAAGATCTAAATCCTGTTTTCATAACAATTTAAAAAATTTATTAGAATAACATATAGTAAACAGCACAAAATAAATGTACAACTTATTGAACAAAGTAAAAAAAAATAAGGTAATACCAACTTGTTAACTATCGTAGGAGACATTACTTTGACAGCCACTACCCCAGAATCCCTCCATGGATTTCCTTTCAAACACAGGATTTTCCTCTTCCACTTGCCACTCCACACTTCCTTAAGAGTAACATTATCCTGACTTTTATGGTAAGCACCTCCTTAGTTTTCTTTGCACTTTTTTTTTCAGACAGAGTCTTGCTCTGATGCCAGGTTGGAGTGCAGTGCTGCGATCTTGGTTCACTGCAACCTCCTCCTCCTGGGTTCAAGTGATTCTCCTGCCTCAGCCTCCTGAGTAGCTGGGTCTATAGGCACGTGCTACCATGCCAAGCTAATTTTTGTATTTTTAGTAGAGATGGGGTTTCACCATGTTGGCCAGGATAGTCTCGATATCTTGACCTGATGATCTGCCTGCCTCAGCCTCTGAAGGTGCTGGGATTACAGGCGTGAGCCACCATGCCCATCCTTCTTTGCACTTCTGTTACACAAACATTACAGTTTAAAACAATGCTGTTCAGCAGAAATATAAGATATTTGTTAATTTTAAGTTGTCTACTGGCCATATTTTTATTTTTTATTTTTCTATGAATTCCTGAATTGAGTTAAATGGGCATATTTTTAAAAGTAAAAAGAAATAGGTGAAATTAACAATGTTTGTATTCAACCAAAAATTTCCAAAATTATTTATGAATAAATAATGTATGCCAGCCACATTTCAAGTCTCAGCATGAGATGATGATGGTAATAGGGTGGCAGTAGTAAAGATGGAAAGGATCTGGATGTCAGTCAGGAAGTGGGATCAGTAGGACTTAATACTATTGGATTGGATGGCGGGTAGAGGAGTCAAGATCTCCTAGATTTTTTGCTTGAGCAACTGGGTGAATGGTGGTGTCATCATTAAGATGGAGAAAATTCTGGGCGGAGAAACAGGTATAGGAGAGAAAAACAAGTTCTGGATGAGAAGTAATTTTTTTTTTGAGACGGAGTTTCACTCTTACTGTCAGGGCTGGAGTGCAATGGCAAGATCTTGGCTCACTGCAACCTCCACCTCCTGGGTTCAAGCAATTCTCCTACCTCAGCCTCCTGAGTAGCTGGAATTACAGGTGTCTACCACCAGGCCTGGCTAATTTTTTGTGTGTTTTTTAGTAGAGACGGGGTTTCACTATGTTGGCCAGGCTAGTCTTGGACTCCTGACCTTGTGATCTGCCCACCTCGGCCTCCCAAAGTGCTGGGACTACAGCCGTGAGCCACTACACCCAGCCAGAGAAGTAATTAAAAAAAATTTTTTTTGAGACGGCATTTTGCTCTTGTTTTCTAGGCTGGAGTGCAATGGCACGTTCTTGGCTCACCAAAACCTCTGCCTCCCGGGTTCAAGCGATTCTCCTGCCTCAGCCTCCGGAGTAGCTTGGATTACAGGCATGTGCCACCACATCCGGCTAATTTTGTATTTTTAGTAGAGACAGTGTCTTCATGTTGGTCAGGCTGGTCTTCAACTCCCGACCTCAGGTGATTCACCTGCCTTGGGCTCCCAAAGTGCTGGGATTATAGGCTTGAGCCATCACACCTGGCCAGAAGTAATTTTTTAACAAATATGTATTAGCTTATATTTCAGTAGTTGATTAGCAGTCCCATGATTTAGCCATCATTTTCGAAATCCAAAAATATCTGTGTAATCCCTACCAAGAACTTAGTCCTGTCTTTTTTAGCCTTTATGCTCGCATACAGAGGATGTGTGTCTTTGCACATAGTCAGTTATTGCTGATATACAGTTTTTAAGATATGTAATATTTTGGAAGTTGGAGTTACCTTAATATCTCTCAAGTAAATGTGTGCGTATATACATAACTGTTATTGTACACACTTAAAATTTTTGGTTTATTTCTCCTGGGTGCTAATGTTTACATGTTTTAAGATTCTACCTATATAGTGTAATATATAAATCTACAATCTCAGTTTCTAATTTCTCATTGATTGGTCTTTTTTATTTTTTTGAGATGGAGTCTTGCAATGGTGCGATCTCAGCTAACTGGAGCTTCCACCTCTCCGGTTCAAGCGATTCTGCTGCCTCAGCCTCCTGAGTAGCTGGGATTACCACCATGCCCAGCTAATGTTTTTCTTTCTTTTTTTCTCTCTTTCTTTCTTTCTCTCTTTCTCTCCCCTCCCCCACATCTCTCCCCCACTCCCTCTCTCTCTCTCACTCCCTCCCTCTCTTCCCTCCCTCCCAGGTTTCACCATGTTGGTCAGGCTGGTCTTGAACTCCCGACCTCAGGTGATCCGCCCGCCTTGGCCTCCAAAGTGCTTGGATTCCAGGAGTAAGCTACAACGCTTAGCCTTTTTTCTTTTTTTTCTTTCTTTTTTTTAATTTTAATGTTTGTATTTTTAGTAGAGACAGGGTTTCACCATGTTGGCCAGGCTGGCGTCAAACTCCTGACCTCAGGTGATTTGCCCACCTCAGCCTCCCAAAGTGCTGGGATTACAGGGTGGGCTACTGCACCAGGTCCCTCATTGATTTGTCTTAATTGTGTGTTTTCCACTTGCTCAAAGGAAATAGGTGTCACATTGACATTGGCTGTTTACATTTGGAAAGCCAAGTTCACTAATATCATACTTTTATAATTTCTGTGTTTTTCTAGCCACAACTTCCTCAAAGTTATTTTTGATCTTTATCATTTAAATCCAACTGATTTTGTTTCTGATTTCTAACTTTCAGTTCTTCTGTGTATTTCTTCTTAAGTCATCATTTTATGCTGCCTATACTTCTGTTACTGCCACCCTGGTCTGAGTGTTTTGAAAACTGAGCTTCCTAAGTGATTTCCTTTACCCTTATTCTCTACCTTTGTACTAATCTGTTATAAATAACTTGTACAAGTATTCTTTTCATTTTTATCCCTCAAATTCCTATTATAGTAAGGCTTTGAAGGCATCATTCAAATTTTTTTTCCACTTAATTTTAAAATTTTTATTGTCCTTTTCCTCCTAAAACTCTGCATTCTAGCCAAGGTAATTACTTTGTTGTTTACACAGCGTACAAAGTCATTTTTATCTTAATGTCTTTGACATGCCATTCCAGGTAAAGGGAGCAGCTCTTTCAAGATGTAAAGACATGGCCAGGCATGGTGGCTCACGATTGTAATCCCAGCACTTTGGGAGGTGGAGGCGGGTGGATCATTTGAGGTCAAGAGTTCAAGACCAGCCTGGCCAACATGGTGAAACCACATCTCTACTAAAAATACAAAAATAAACCTGTCGTGGTGGCACATACTTGTAATCCCAGCTACTCAGGAGGCTGGGGCAAGAAAATTGCTTGAGCCTGAGAGGCAGAGGTTGCAATGAGCTGAAATTGCACCAGCACTCCAATCAGGGTGACAGAGTGAGATCCTGTCTCAAAAAAAAAAAAAAAAAAAGGATGTAAAGACATGAAACCATATAAGATGTGGTGGTTGTCGTGGTGGTTTTTTTAAACAGCTGCACCCCCCACAACAGTTCCCATAGGTCTCAGTAAATGTCTGAATCATAGAAATTTTGTTCCTTTAGGATTCAGTGCGCCTCCTAGCTGTGGAAGCTTGTGTCAGTATTGCCCAGTTACTGTATCAGGATGACCTTGAGACCTTGGTGATGCCTGCACTTCGACAAGCCACAGAAGATAAATCTTGGCGAGTTCGCTATATGGTAGCTGACAGATTTTCAGAGGTAAAATGATCATTTTTAAGTACTAAGGAAATAAACCTGGAAACCTATAAATATGCTGTTTTACCCAAAGTTCTTGAATTTTTTTTTCAATGGAAAGTGCTATGGCAAAAATACCTACTTAAAGATTGCACAATTTTATTTTGTTCTTGTTAATTATTTTGTTGGTGTATATTAAAACTCATTTAAATTCTTTTATAGCTCCAGAAAGCTGTGGGTCCTAAAATCACCCTAAATGACCTCGTCCCCGCCTTTCAGAACCTACTTAAAGACTGTGAAGCTGAAGTCCGGGCAGCGGCTGCCCACAAAGTAAAAGGTTAAGGAGTACAATTTATGTTGGAACATGTGTCATTCCTTTTGGTGCATTTTTTTTGTTAGTGAATTTTGCATGTTTTTGTTCTAGAATATGTTTTAAAAATGCATAGGGGTGTTTTCAGTGTGTGGAAATGCCACATTGTCACATAAAGTTACTCCCTTTATATTTAAAACCAATAAATCATTTTGTCTTGTTTTTATAAAAAAAAAATGCCTTTCCGGTTGGATTGGTGTGGTACGCAGTGGCATAGAGATTAACGAAAAAGTGTATTTAGAACAAGAGCTATTTTTCTTACTTACTTTAACATATGAATTAAACTGAAATTGTTGATAGGCCTGGTTAAATGTCCTCATTTGGCTCTTTGTAAATGGCCCTGCAAAAACATTTTCTTTCCTAATTGTCTTTTAGAACTTTGTGAGAACTTGCCCATTGAAGATAGAGAGACCATAATTATGAATCACATTCTGCCCTATATAAAGGTAAACCTGACTTCAGTTTATTTTCTTTCACTCTGATTTATATGAAGGTAAACCTTAATCTTAGTTTGCTTACCTTAAAGCTCTTTGGTTTAAAGATGTTGACAAAGAATGAGTGGGGAAGATATGTTAACCTGTGACATTGTTGTTTATCACTTATTAACCTATTCTAATTATAAAATACTCTTTGGTGCATAGGTTTATGTTACCTAACAAGTAGTCTGAGGAAACACTATCAGTTTAATCAATATTGAAATAGTGCTGTCTTTAAATTCCTTGGGATTAGGCATGGTGTCACATGCCTGTAATCCAAGCACTTTGGGAGGCTGGGGTGGGAGGATTTCTTGAGCCCAGGAGTTCTAGACCAGCCTGGGCAACACAGTGAGACCCCATCTCTACAAAAAAATATAAACATTAGTTGGGCCTAGTGGCATGCATCTGTAGTACCACTTACTTGGAGTCTGAGGTGAGAGGATTGCTTGAGCCAAGGAGGTTGAGATGATAGTGAGGTATCATCACGCCACTGCACTTTAGCCTAGGTGACAGTGAGACCCTGTCCCAAAAAGAAAAAAAAAATCAGGCTGGCGTGGTGGCTCACACCTGTAATCCCAGCACTTTGGGAGGCCAAGGCGAGAGGATTACATGAACCTAGGAGTTCAAGACCAGCCCTGGCAATATAGCAAGAACCTATCTCTACAAAAAATAAAAAAAATAGCCATGCCTGGTGGTGCATGCCTGTAGACCCAGCTACTCTGGAGGCTGAAGTACTTGAGTCAGGGAGGTCGAGGCCACAGTGAACCAAGGTTACGCCACTGCACTTCATTCTGGGTAACAGAGCAAGACTCTGTCTCCCAGAATAAGTAAATAAATAATACATCCTTGGGAAATGGTATGGAAGTTTCTGTTGTCTTATAATAAAGGTTTTTAATTTTGATTTAATTTTAGGAATTAGTATCTGATACCAGTCAACATGTCAAATCGGCTCTAGCTTCTGTAATTATGGGATTGTCTACTATTGTGGGCAAAGAGAATACCATCGAACATCTTCTACCTCTTTTTTTAGCTCAGTTAAAGGATGAGGTGAGTCTTGCTTTATATTCTGTTGCCCTTGATAGTAATTTGATTTGATTTGATTTTGGTTTGGGGTTTCACTAAAAGAGAACCCGCAAAAAGGAAATGGATAAAAAAAGCATAACTTCCTTTAAACCAATGACAACACCTGTGATTTTGGGTATGGGGTTATAGGTTCCTTAGAAAATGGTCACAAGGACCCATTAAAGTAAATCTAGAAATGTCTATTTATCATCTTTACCTGATGTTTGCTTTATACTCCCTGGTTTATTTATAGCTAATGTGTCTTTGTTTAAAAAGTTTCTTTGATTTAAGTTTAATAAAGTATCAAAAATTTTGAGGGTTAAAGTAACTTGAGCAAGGTCTTTCAACAGTGACGGATCTGAAGTTTGAGTGCATCTGATTTAATTCCAGAGTTTATGCTCTTTACCATCGTAGAGACTTTTCTCATAGTCTTTAATCTTACAGACTTTTAATTGAAATTTCTGATTAAGATAACTTATGTTCCTTGAATTATTTATGTACTCAGTATTATTTCTTCAAGACTATCCATTTTTTTCACCTGAGTCAATATTTTCTAATTTTGAAACTTACTTAGCAGTTTGTATCTTATCCTGACAGGAGACTGTTGGGCAGATGACTTGATTTTTATATGTGGTCATTTGTGGCTTGTGTACTTGCAGTGTCCTGAAGTTCGTTTGAATATCATCTCCAATTTGGATTGTGTAAATGAAGTGATTGGAATTCGTCAGCTCTCTCAGTCTCTCCTGCCTGCCATAGTGGAGCTGGCTGAAGATGCCAAATGGAGGGTCCGGTTGGCCATCATTGAGTATATGCCACTGCTGGCAGGCCAGCTGGTGAGTATGTGTTGCTCCATGAACTGTAGTGTTAAATAGTGACAATTTACCATGGCAAGTCGGAGGCCTAGTAGCCTGTATGATTATGTTTATTTAGATACATGAAAGTATGGCCTTGTTCTTGTTGCCTATGGGATGGCTTTTATTTTTATTAGTGCATAAATTCCTTTTTTTTTTGAGATGGAGTTTCGCTCTTGTTACCCAGGCTGGAATGCAATGGCGTGATCTCGGCTCACCGCAACATCTGCCTCCTGGGTTCAGGCAATTCTCCTGCCTCAGCCTCCTGAGTACCTGGGACTATAGGCATGCACCACTATGCCCAGCTAATTTTTTTGTATTTTTAGTAGAGACGGGGTTTCACCATGTTGACCAGGATGGTCTCAATCTCTTGACCTCGTGATCCACCCGCCTCGGCCTCCCAAAGTGCTGGGATTACAGGCTTGAGCCACCGCGCCCGGCCTAATTCCTTTTTTTTTTTTAAGATGGAGTTTCACTCTTGTTGCCCAGACTGGCATGCAATGGTGCAGACTCGGCTCACTGCAACCTCTGCCTCCTGGGTTTAACTGATTATCCTGCCTCTGCCTCACGAGTAGCTGGGATTATAGGAATGTGCCTTCACACCTGGCTAGTTTTGTATTTTTAGTAGAGACGAGGTTTTTACCTTGTTCTTCAGGCTGATCTCGAATTCCTGACCTCAGGTGATACACCCACCTTGGTTCCCAAAGTATTGGATTACAGGCGTGAGCCACCGTGGCTTGCCTATTAGTGCATACATTTCTAACAAAAAAGTACAGCTTGAGTATTACTCATCTAAATATGCTTGGGACCAGAATGTTTGGGACCAAAAGTGGATTTTGGAATATTTGCATTATATATACTTACTCTTTGAGCATCCCAAATTCAAAAATCCAAAGTCCAGAATGCTTCAATGAACAATTTCCTTTGAGCATTGTATTGGCATTCAAAAAGTTTTGGATTTCAGAGCATTTCACATTTTGGATTTTTGGATTTGGGATCCTCAGCCTGTATTACAGAAACATATTTTACCTTACCACCACCAAAAAACAAAGCCATAGAATAGTAAGATCAGTTTCTTGGTATATATAATGTAAATTTTATAATAATTAATGCCTTTGTGACTTAAGAAATATTTAACTGAGAAGAAAAGGGATTATGGTTCTAGGGTGAGTCTGCTGTGATTTTTTTCTCAAGGAAACTTCGCTGTTTGTCTTGTTTTCTAAGCAAAATGTCCCTGGCTGCCACTTTGCCTACATTCTGATTAAAGGGAGTTGAGGAGTCGTCATATAGAAAAGAAGTATTGAAAGGCCAGGCGTGGTGGCTCACACTTATAAACCCAGCACTTTGGGAGGCCAAGGCAGGCGAATCACTTGAGGCCAGGAATTCCAGACCAGCCTGGCCAACATGGTGAAACCCCATCTCTACTAAAAATACAAAAATTAACTGGGCGTGGAGGCACATACCTGTAATCCCAGCTACTCAGGAGGCTGAGGCAGTAGAATTGCTTGAACCCAGGAGGCAGACATTGTAGTGAGCCAAGATCACACCACTGCACTCCAGCCTAGGCAACAGAGTGAGACTTCATGTCAAAGAAAACAAAAGGAGTACTGAAGCTTGTAATGTTAGTATTTTAGTCAGAGTCCACATTCTCACATTATCTGTTACTATTTGGGTTTCATGATTAGTTCTACCCTAATACCGTGTTAGTTAAAATTTCAAAGCTAGGTTTTATAGCCATGTCTTCCTTTTTTTTTGAGTAGGTGGCCTAGACAGTTCTAAGTTTGATGTACCTTTATCCTGTTGGTAGCACACTTATTACAGAGTATTGTAACTGTCTGCTACAGTCTATCTGGGGAGATGGGTAATCTCTTTTTTTTTTTTTGAGATGGAGTTTTGCTCTTGTTACCCAGACTGGAGTGCAATGGCGCAATCTCGGCTCACCGCAACCTCCACCTCCTGGGTTCAGGCAATTCTCCTGCCTCAGCCTCCTGAGTAGCTGGGATTACAGGCACGCGCCACCATGCCCAGCTAATTTTTTTTGTATTTATAGTAGAGACGGGGTTTCACCATGTTGACCAGGATGGTCTCAATCTCCTGACCTCATGATCCACCCTCCTCGGCTTCCCAAAGTGCTGGGATTGCAGGCTTGAGCCACCGCGCCCGGCCTGGGTGATCTCTTTTAAGGACAGGGTCTGTATTTTATTTCCCATCTCTACTGTCCAGGCTGGTCTCAAACTCATGGCCTCAATGATCTCCTGCCGCAGCCTCCTGAGTAGCTGGGATTATAATAAGCGTCAGCCATTGTGCATGGCTAGCATTTGTTGATTGTTGAGTATTTTTTGAGAAAGCTGTGTCAGTTTATACTACAGTTTGTTTTCCCTTCCTCACTCCCATTCCTTTTGGGTCACAGCATATGGAATTTATTTTTTCTTTTCTTGAACTCTTGAATTTGTATTGTTAATTTTAGTACATTTAGTTTATGAACATGCATTTTGTGGATGTCTGTGGCATTATATGTTTTATAAAATTTTAAGAGTCTCATTCTTTGAAAGGATGCCGGAGATATTAGTGCACAGCTAATGGGATCAAGTGAAGTTATTTTGTCATCCTTTTTCTCTGTCACTCCCAAGTGCTATGATTGCCATGGATCTCCTCTCCAGAGTGGAGAGGAGCAGCGCTTAACTGAGCTGCTAAAGACGAAAGCTGTCTGGAAGGGAGGGTGCATTTTACTACCATTTCTTTTAACCTCTGCTCCTTCTAGACCTGGAAAGTTTCCCAGGGTTGCTAGCTCTATAGAGAGCAGTGTGAAAGCAAGGCAGATGGTGTCTTTGGCTGACTTATAACCTGTCTGTCAGGGGTGACATGCCTCAGTCATGAACATTTTGTTTTACAATTTCAACTTCTTGTTAGTGTATATATTCTTCTTAATTTTTCTTTATCTCTAAATTTTCTTTTTTTTTTTTTTTGGAAAAAGAAAAAAGGAAAAAAGAAAAAAAAAGAATGAAAGAGAGAAAGAAAGAGGAAGAGAAAGAGGGAGAGAGAAGAGGAGTCTTGCTTTATTGCCCAGGCTAGAATGCAGTCTAAAAATGGATATTGAAAACCTCTTTTATGCCAATAATTATGCTTAACAATGGAGACAGGAAGGAATAAGGGAGGAAAATAACAAACAAGCAGCCAACCAATATTTCGTTTAAACCTGTGAAATGCTATGCAATTACTGAGGAGTGATTTACTTCCAATTATGTAGTCACTTTTAGAGTAGGTGTGATGTGGTACTGATAAGAATGTATGTTTTGTGTATTTGGGGTGGAGAGTTCTATAAATGTTTATTAAGTTTACTTGTTCCGGGTCTGAGTTCAAGTCCTGGATATCCTTGTTAATTTTCTGTCTCGTTGATCTGTCTAACATTGACAATGTGATGTTAAAGTCTCCCACTGTTAATGGGAGTCTAAGTCTCTTTATAAGTCATTAGGAACTTGTCTTATGTATCTGAGTGCTCCTGTATTGGGTGTGTGTATATTTAGGATCGTTAGCTCTTGTTGCATCGATTCTTTGACCATTATGTAATGTCCTTCTTTGCCTCATTTGATCTTTTTTGCTTAAAAGTCTATTTTATCAGAGGTGAGAATTGCAACTCCTGCTTTTTATTTAGTTAGTTATTTTTGCTCTCCATTTGGTTGGTAAATCTTCCTCCATCCCTTTGCTTTGAGTCTTTGTGTATCCTTGCATGTGAGACGGGTCTGGATGCAGCTTACTGATGCGTTTTGACTTTTTATTCAATTTGCCTGTGTCTTTTGATTGGGGGATTTAGTTGATTTAAATTAAGGATTAATAATAACATATGTGAGTTTAATACTGCCATTCAAGTGCTAGCTGGCTGTTTTGCCCATTAGTTGATGTAAATTCTTCATTATGTTGATGCTCTTTACCTTTTGGTATATTTTTGGAAAGGCTGATACTGGTTGTTCCTTTCTATGTGTAGTGCTTCTTTCAGAAGCTCTTGTAAAGCAGGCCTGGTGGTGATGAAATCTCTGAGTACTTGCTTGTTCACAAAAGATTTTATTTTTCCTTCACTTTTGAAGCTTAGTTTGGCTGGATATGAAATTCTGGGTTGAAAGTTCCTTTCTTTAAGGATGTTGAATATTGGCCCCCACGCTCTTCTGGCTTGTAGGGTTTCTGTTGAGAGATCTGCTGTAAATCTACAAAGGCTTCTCTTTGTAGGTAACCTGACCTTTCTCTCTGGCTGTCCTTAGCATTTCCTCCTTCATTTCAACCCTGGTGAATCTGATGATTATGTACCTTTGGGTTGCTCTTCTTGAGGAGTATCTTTGTGGTGTTCTCTGTATTACCTGGAGTTGAATATTGTCCTGCCTTGCTAGGTTGGGAAAGTTTTTCAGAATAATATCCTGAAGAATATTTTCCAGCTTGGATTCATTCTCTTTATCACATTCAGGTACACCTATCAAACGTAGATTAGGTTTTTTCACATAGTCCCCTATTTCTTGGAGACTTTCCTCATTCCTTTTTATCCCTTTTTCTCTAATCTTGTCTTCTCTTTTTATTTCATTGAGTTGGTCTTCGACCTCTGAAATCCTTTCTTCTGCTTGATCGATTTGACTATTAAAACGTGGGCATACTTCGCGAAGTTCTCATGCTGTGTTTTTCAACTCCATTAATTCACTTATATTCCTCTCTAAATTGTCTATTCTTGTTAGCATTTCGTCAAACCTTTTTTCACGGTTCTTAGTTTCTTTGCATTGGGTTAGAACATGTTCAGGCCGGGCCCGGTGGCTCAAGTCTGTAATCCAAGCACTTTGGGAGGCTGAGGCGGGCGGATCACAAGGTCAAGAGATCAAGACCATCCTGGCCAACATGGTGAAACCCCGTCTCTACTAAAAATCCAAAAAAAATTAGCTGGGTGTGGTGGCGTGTGCCTGTAGTCCCAGCCACCCAGGAGGCTGAGGCAGGAGAATTGCTTGAACCTGAGAGGCAGAGGTTGCAGTAAGCCGAGATCATGCTGCTGCACTCCAGCCTGGTGCCAGGTGACACAGAGACTCTGTCTCAAAAAAAAAAAAAAAAAAAGAACATGTTCTTTTAGCTCACAGAAGTTTCTTATTATCTACCTTCTTAAGCCTGATTCTGACAATTCATCATACTCATTCTCCATCAGGCCTTGTTCCCTTGCTGATGAGGAGCTGCGATCCCCTGAAGGAGGAGGGGCATTCTGATTTCAGATGTTTTCAGCCTTTTTGCGCTGGTTTCTTACCATCTTTGTGGATTTATCCACCTGTCATCGTTGTAATTGCTGACTTTCAGATTGGGTCTCTGAGTGGACCTCCAGCTTGTTGGTGGTGATGTTATTTCTGTTTCTTTGTTTTCCTTTGGTGGATGCCCCTCCCCCACAGAGCTGGACCTTTCTGGGTTCACCTGTGCTTGCTGTGAAACTCTCAACCGTCCGAGTTTACAATTGCTGTTTTTTTGTGGGGTGGGACCAGCTGAGCCCAATCACCTGGCTCCCTGTCTCAGAGCCCCCTTTTTTTCTTTTCTAACTGAACGGTTGATTCTCTCTCAGGTGCCCCAGTTGCCTGCCGCAAAGGCGCCGTGATCTATGCAATTTCCCCTGTGGTGACTGCACCGGCTGAAACAGTGGCGCTGAGATTTGTGGCACTTTTCTGCCCGGGAGTCTCCCGGTCTGGTTCCTGGCTTCAGTCCCCCTCTCAGTCAGCCGAATGGGTGACTCTGCCTTTTTGGAGCTCCAAACGCCGGCTAAAAGGGCACCCAGTCCCACATACTCCACACTGAGAACCACCGTGCTGGGACACCGGCAAAACAGCTGCACCGGCCAAGAGAGTTGCGCTGGTGACCCCTGGGGCTCCTCCGTTGGGAATCTCCTGGTCCGTACGCAACAAAAATTTGTCTGGAAGTCTGGCGTCCACTCACTCCCTGTGCCTTCACTGGGAGCTGCAACCCTGAGCTGCTGCTAGATGGCCATCTTGGATCTCTCTCCATCTCTAAATATTTTTATATCAAATAGTAAATTTATAAAATTCTCTCAAGACTTTAGGTATGACCTCGCTTATGGACCATGTTAAGTAAGTGTAAAGTTAAACTACAAAAACCAGAAAATAGATCCAGCATAGTGGCTCATGCTTGTAATCCCAGGACTTTGGGATGCTGAGGCAGGCGGATCACCTGAGGTCAGGAATTCGAGACCAGCCTGGCCAAAATGGTGAAACCCCATCTCTACTATACAAAATATTAACCAGGTGTGGTGGTGGGTGCCTGTTACTTGGGAGGGTACTTAGGAGGCTGAGGCAGGAGAATTGCTTGAACCCAGGAGGCAGAGGTTGCAGTGAGCCAAGATCATGCCACTGCACTCCAGCCTGAGTGACAGAGAGACATTGCGTCGCAAAAACACCACCACTACCACCAACAAAAAAATGGAAAATAAAGGTTAATTAAAACTGAAGGAAAATTCGCAACCTGATATGAAAAAAAATCTTGGCTGATGTAATCTAAGTGTATGCCAAGATTTGTTCATAATGATCTTTTAATACAAAGCTATTTTGGGCCAGGCGCAGTGGCTCACACCTGCAATCCCAGCACTTTAGGAGGCTGAGGTGGGCCAATCATGGTGTCAGGAGTTAGAGACCAGCCTGACTAACATGGTGAAACCCTGACTCTACTAAAAATACAAAAATTACCTGGGCGTGTGCTTCATGCCTATAATCCCAGCTACTTGAGAGGCTGAGGCAGGAGAATTGCTTGAATCCGGAAGGCAGAGGTTGCAGTGAGCTGAGATTGCGCCACTGTACTCTAGCCTGGGCAATATAATGAGACTCGGTCTCAAAAAAAAAAAAAAGCTATTTTGTTTTCTTTAATCACTATTTTCAAAGCACTGAAACATTATATTACCTCTCTTTATATAAAATATAGAATCGCCAGTCAGGAACTTCTTAGAGTTCAAAGAAGCAAGACTATAAACATGTAGACCCCAGAAGGGAGGCACTAGGAAAGTTTCTATCACAGCATTCTCCCATGTGGTGTAGAAGCCCCAGGGTAAGAGGGCTGTGTAAATCCGCTCCAGGAGCCCATCCCCAGCCTTCACTGAAGTGGCCACCTTTTGACAGTCAAGAGGAACAGGGCTGGGAGAGCAAGCCATGCCTGAGCCACATTTCCTGTAGTCCTGGGCATGCTTTATTCTCCCTCCAGGGCTTTCTCCTGTTGTTTCAAAAATACTCTTAATTGGGGATATCTCTGTCTTGAGGTCAGTTGCTTTATCCTTAAGGATTTGTTATGATAGTAACCAAAAAGGGAAGACAATTGAGAATTAGTAATATTACTGACAGGTCTTTTCCTGGTAATTCATTTTTATGGGTAATCCAGATTGTGCTTGGTAGACCATTCACAGTGCATTCTTCCCACTCTATTACAGTGTCGTGGCTGGCTTCTGGCCACCCTGTTCTCTTTTACCTAGCAGGGCCTATGCCAGCTCTCCTATGCTTTTTTTTTGTTTATGATTTCTATCCAATAAAATAGATATATGGTTTGTTTACAAATCCTTTGGTGTTTCCTTTCTGTCTCTTTAATGAATTCAGTTTATTTGGAAACAATTTTTTTAGCCTTAAGGTAAACTTGGTGTATAGATAGACCATCTTTATTTCTGAATTTGACAACGTATATTAATGAAATCTTCTGTATCTGTAGGGTGTGGAATTCTTCGATGAAAAGCTGAATTCTTTATGTATGGCTTGGCTTGTGGACCATGGTGAGTAGATAAAAACAAATAATTGAAATCCTATATATCCATGATGTTCATGTCCTTTTAGAAAGGAATCTCAGTCTGACCAGATATTGTGCCTTAATATTGTAGGAATGAAGAAAGGCTCTAAAGTTTAGTCTTCTGAATATAAATTTGATATTTCTACCAGTTTTTTTGTATCTTAGATTTTATTTTCTCTTAAATAATTTATTTGAATTATTTCTTAATCTATTACATTATCTTTAGACCATTTCTTTCTTATATCTACGTACTCCTCCCATATCTGAGGATCCTCTTTTTGACCATCCTGTAATTGGTGTCTTCAGCAGCTGTACATTAGATTGGACGGAGACTGGAATCAGATAAAAGGCCTAGGTGGGAGAAATGGCCACTTGGCTTTTTTGAGGTGACATAGAAGAGGAGATACACAGTGAGACAGCAGAGGATTCTTAGGTGTGGGAAACATTAGCTTTGCCATAGGGATAGAGAGGGCCTGGATTTCTGGTTTTGGTGAAAGGAAGGCTTACTGGTTGTGCCCTCACTGCTGCTGCTACAATACTAGGAGAGGGTGAGCTTGGGCAAGTCAGGTAGGACAGCAGGAATGAGCAGGTGACTTCCTGGTGAGGCTTCAGGTAGAGGTATATGCATGTATCCCCTTGTGTGCCAGGCAGCAGTGGGTGAGAGATGTACCCTCTGTGCCAGGTCCCAGGTCTAGACTTGACAGCTTCAGTGTTGCCTTAGACCTGTTCTGATGAGTGTAAGTGACCCCGGGGTCTCATGCGACATTGCCCTTGAGCTTTAGTTCCGTGTTTCAGTGGATGTGAGAGGTATCCTGATTCAGTTTTACAGTCTCTTTTATGTATTTTATATATGAATTGAGTGTATCTCTTTGTTCATCTGTGGATGCTTAATGCTTGGAAATTTGAGAGGAATGATGATACAGGTATACCTGTAGGTGGTTTTGTTAAAGGCATATTTGCATCATATGGAGGATCACATGGTTAAGAGTGTGAAGAGGAAGGATGTGAAAAAATAGGTGAAAATGTATAAGGGCTTATATATGTGGGTATTTCCAGTGTTTTCAAACTGGATTGTAAAGACTTCTTTCTCTTTTTCTTCTCTAAAGTTATCTTGTTGTGGCCAATTTTTTTTTTTTTAAATAAAACTTAAATTTGGCAAATCATAGGAAAGAAATAACTTTAAAAAAAATGTTTATGTTATATCTGATAAATACTTAATGTTACTGGGGAATGGTGTGTCCTAGCAGCTCATTCTATGCTTTTTTTTCACTTTAAGTTCTAGGATACATGTGCAGAACGTGCAGGTAGGTTCGTTACATAGGTAAACATGTGCCATGGTGGTTTGCTGCACCTATAAACCTGCCATGCAGGTTTTAAGCCCTGCATGCATTAGCTGTTTGTCCTGATATTCTCCCTTCCCTCACTCCTCACCCCCTGACAGGTCTCAGTGTGTGATGTTCCCCTTCCTGTGCCCATATGTTCTCATTGTTCAACTTCCACTTATGAATGAGAACATATAGTGTTTGGTTTTCTGTTCCTGTGTTAGTTTGCTGGAAATGATAGCTTCAAGCTTCATCCATGTCTCTGCAAAGCACATGAACTCATTCTTTTTTATTGCTGCATAGTATTCCATGGTGAATATGTGCCACATTTTCTTTATCCAGTCTGTCATTGATGGGCATTTGGGTTGGTTCCAAGTCATTCAATGCTTTCTTTAAAAATTGGCATTTTAGATTAAGATTGTGTTTTATTTTGAGGAATTTTTAAAGTTCTAATATTCCACAAAGAATTAGATTCCTGATACCCTTTCTCTGTAAGATTGCTTTCTCTGTGCAACTTGATTACTCCTTCCTCTTTTCTGATTTTCTCTTTCAGTTTGGGAGCAGGAGAAAGTCTTGTTTATTTCACTGCAGCAGCATGCTGAAGTAGGTTCTCCAGGAACCAATGAAAATTTCTCCAATGAAATAACAGCTCTGAAGTTGTTCTAATTAATCATAGGAACTTTATTTGCTTTTGCTTTTCAGATAAGTGTTAAATAGTGCTCACTGGATCAGTTAGAGTTTTTCAAACTTTTTTCCTAGTTATTAAACTACTAAAAGAACATTGTGAAAATTCCAGAGACATATAAGGAAGAAAGTATCACCCACCTATATTCCTGTGGTTGAGTAGACAGTTTTAATCAGAGGGAGGAGTGTAGAAGGAGAATTTATTTATTTATTATAGGAGAAAGGAGAAAGTATCAGTGAGCATAGACATTCAAAGAAACCTTGCAGATCGGCCAGGTTGAGGGGAAATGGGGAGAGAGAAAGAAAGAAATAGACAGGCCGTGCGCGGTGGCTCAAGCCTTTAATCCCAGCACTTTGGGAGACTGAGGCGGGTGGATCACGAGGTCAAGAGATCGAGACCATCCTGGTCAACATGGTGAAACCCCGTCTCTACTAAAAATACAAAAAATTAGCTGGGCATGGTGGCGCATGCCTGTAATCCCACCTACTCAGGAGGCTGAGGCAGGAGAATTGCCTCAATCCAGGAGGCGGAGGTTGTGGTGAGCTGAGATCACGCCATTGTACTCCAGCCTGGGTAACAAGAGCGAAACTCCGTCTCAAAAAAAAAAAAAAAAAAGAAAAGAAATAGACAAAAGAAAACAGGCAGGACTGTGGATGGAATGGTTAGCATTCTTCTGAAAACAGACTTCAGAGAAGCCAAGAACATAGTAGGCATCTGGCCAAGTAGAGTTCAGTGCAGTTAGTCAAGTCTATGCGTGTGTGTGCCCAGTTTCTGGTTCTGGCGGTGAAATCCATTTCTGTGGTAGTGACATTATGATAAAAATCTAAAGAATGTTTAAAAAAGTAGTAATTTGCTGGGCATGGTGGCTCATGCCTACAATCCCAACATTTTGGGAGGCTGAGGTGGGCGGATGACTTGAGGTCAGGAGTTCAAGACCAATCTGGCCAACGTGGTGAAACCCTGTCACTACTAAAAATACAAAAATTAGCTGGGCATGGTGGCGCGTGCCTGTAATTCCAGCTACTCGGGAGGCTGAGGCAGGAGAATTGCCTGAACCCAGGAGGCAGAGGTTGCTGTGAGCCGAGATCACGCCATTGCACTCCAGACTGGGTAACAAGAGCGAAACTCCATCTCAAAAAAAAAAAAAAACAAACAAAAGAAAATAAGTAATTAGAGGAGAAGACACAAATTCTCTAGCTAGCTCTACCTTAGAGGGAAGGACAGGGAAGGGTTTGGGCCAAAGACAAAGACTGTGGATATGAAGGGAAGGAACCTGTATTACAGTCAAACAGTTAGTTGACTTGAATTTGCTCCTTAGTGCTTCTAAGTATTCCTGACAGGTTGCTTTTCCCATAGACTGTCAGTTTAAGTGTTGATTATCAGTTCTATGGTTACTTGTCTATGCTAATTTATCAAAGGCATAGACAAGTCTTGCCCGTTCTCTACATAATTGCCGTGAAGGATCTGCAAATAGCAAAAGTTGGCTATTTCTTGATTGGAGGCTTGTATAAATTGCCTGCAACTGGGATTGTGGCTTAGATAGGTACTCCTGCCCTTCCAATCATCCCAGGAAAGTTGGGCCCACCTGGAGAGAATAAGGAATCAGTACCTACCACCCTTGATTTGTTAATCTGAGCCCAAATTTTGAGTCTCACTGGATCTGTAAAGTGAAGTGACACCAGGCTTTCTTGGTTTAGTGCTGTATATAGCAACTAATTGTGAGAAGATTGTAGCTCTGACCTTTATTGTCTAGCTTTATGTCTTTGATAATTTATCAAAGGCTATAGAGAATTATTAGATGTTAAGGCAGGCACATTGATTCAAAGTCATTTGACATCTTGTCTCAACTTAAGCATTTTAATGGAGAAGAATGCACGTTAGTCTGATGTTTGTATTTGCTGTTGTATAGATGACCACAATGGCCTCTACAGCATTTCCTTGATGTCTTTCTGACTCAGCATCGGTTCTCTGTGATGATGTTGCTGGAATAATCTTGCTAAAATTCCACATTGGTCATCAGGTCACAAGTTTGCTTTAAAAACCCATCACTGTTTTTCTAATCAACTCTGAGTCTTTCAAGATGCTCTGTGGTCTGGGTCCACCCTGATTATCTAACTTTGAAGTCTCACTGGTTTCAGTTTTTTCCCTTTGTGTCCTGGATACATGTCTTTACCCTTTCTAGGAATTCCTCCCTGCTTCTCTCCACTTACATCGATCCTCCCTAATCACTGCCCAGTGCAAGCCTTCTTCCTTTGCTGAAACCTCCCCAGACCTTCCTTATTCTCTCTTCTCTGCACTGTTAGAACCCTCACAGCCCTTACTTCACATTGCCATACTTCATTCTAATTACTCTTGCACCATGTGACTTCATGGAATATGTTAGCTTTCATTTCTTTCATAAGAGTGTATGACCTGTGAGGGAAAGTATCTTCTGTATTCTTTTTGTAGCTCATAATAGGCACTTGTATTTGTTAAATAATTGATGATGCACATAGCTCTTTGCATCCCTTTACCTTGGATATGCACATTTGGAAACTGAGTTGGAGCTCAGTATGCTTATCATTGCAGCATGATTACATGTGGAGTCTGATTACAGAGAGGTTTTGCTTTTGGTCCACATTTGATGTTCACGTTAGTATACTAGGTTATGCTTAAAAAACAATAAGCAATATGAGAATGTGTTTTTGACCTCTTCCGCAGTATATGCCATCCGAGAAGCTGCTACCAACAATCTCATGAAACTAGTTCAGAAGTTTGGTACAGAGTGGGCCCAAAATACCATCGTTCCCAAAGTGTTAATAATGGCAAATGATCCTAATTACTTGCATAGAATGACCACATTATTCTGCATTAATGTAAGTATAACATAATTGTTATTGCTAAGCTTAGACGTTAAAGCAAAATTATTCATGACTATTTCTGAATTCTGAATATACTGTCTTCTATTTGGAATATATGTCTTATTTTGATTAATTGGAATAGGAGATGAGAGAAAACGTCAGTTTTAAAATTCATATTAAAATCTACAGTATTGGCTGGGCACAGTGGCTCACGCCTATAATCCCAGCACTTTGGGAGGCCTGAGGCAGGTGGATCACCTGAGGTCAGGAGTTTGAGACAAGCCTGGTCAACATGGCGAAACCCTGCCTCTACTCCAAAGTACAAAAATTAGCCAGGCATGGTGGTGCACGCCTGTGGTCCTAGGTACTGGGGAGGCTGAGGCAGGAGAATCCCTTGAACCTGGTGGGGGTAGGGAGTGGAGGTTGCAGTGAGCCAAGGTCACACCCATTACACTCCGGCTTGGTGACAGAGTGAAACTCTGTCTAAAAAAAAAAAAACACTACAGTATTTTAAAAGTGCAACTTAGTTGTGAATTCTGATCTAATTCTCTGATCGTTTGATTCCTGTGTCCCTCACTGAGCTGCTCAAACCATAAATATTTTCCTATTGGTTTATTAAGTATTAATTTGTCTCATTAGATACTGGAATTTTTTTTAAGTGTTTTAAATGTGCCATCTTACTTATTTTGCTAGGCACTGTCTGAGGCCTGTGGTCAGGAAATAACCACTAAGCAAATGCTGCCCATCGTATTAAAAATGGCTGGAGACCAAGTAGCAAATGTTCGTTTCAATGTGGCCAAATCTCTACAAAAAATTGGACCAATTCTAGATACCAGGTAAGATTTTAGTGTTTAGTCTTGTTTTAAAAGTGTATTTTAAATTTTACGATAGAGTGGGGATTAATTAGCTAAAATTAAATTCAGTGATTTTCACTTTACCTAAGATCTGGGTTTACTTAAAGAAAATGATTTAGCAACCATTCTTGAGGATGTCCACTATGACTTTTATATTTAAGCTCTGTATATGGTGTAGATCATTGTCTGAAGCTACTTTTGCTAAGAATTTCTTTAGACATTATTTTGTGTATTTGTCAAGTTTAAATTTTTTTTTTTTTTACTTTTAACAATTACCTTAAAGAATATACACCAAAAAGGATTTATCTGGCCCATTAGACTGTCTTTCACAGATAATATTTTTGAATGTCAGTGCTTTACAGGGAGAAGTTAAGCCAATACTACAGAAATTAGGTCAAGATGAAGACATGGATGTCAAATACTTCGCACAGGAAGCTATAAGTGGTATGTATTTCCTCCTTCTGCCTTGCAGCTTATGGTTTGATTAATTGGGATTTATCTCTATTATGTGAGAGGTGTTAAGGGGGTAGGATGATAAGTATTATGGGAAGCAGGGAGGGTGGTGAGATCCTGGAATGCTGGTGTCTCTCCGATTAGAACCCTCTTGGCCCACCATTTTCTCATCAGTGAGCAGGCTATTTTTCTTAGTTACATGTCTAGGACTGGGTAGGAAATATGATTCTCACTGCTAAGAACAGTTTTTCATTTGTAATTTAACCAGTTTTTAATGTTGAACCTCTGATTAGCCTGGCCGAGTAAAGACAGTGACCACAACGAGAAGTTGTTAGTCTGATGTGTTGGATAATTATTGTGCTTAATATTCACGTAGATCGCTCATAAACTTTCTGTACCACTAACCTGATTTTGTTTGGAATTTTCCAGTTCTTGCGTTGGCATAATGAGGAGCAGGAGGGAAAAGGCCTTTACTAAATTCTTATCACAGATTTCTAGTCAATATGTTCTTAACTGGGTGGAGAAAGATGGAAAACCTTCAAGATCTCATCCAAGCAAATGGCAACAACTTAGAAGAAATCAAATTTCAGTGACTTACTTCTTTCTAAAGATGAAATGGGATTGTTTGTTATTCATCTTCCTTGTTAACTAATTATTTAAGCCATTCTGATTGACCAATTCCTGACACTTGATACTTGATTGTCTCCTAATGCTTTATCCATTGCCACCTGGGCTCCCACACGCTCACTGCAATCAGGCCCCAGCCACATAATGTCCCAGACAAAGCCTGGAGAGGTGTGGACCCAGATGTGGAGTAGAGTGATTCTCTTGATGTTTACATATATCTCTGTGTCTCTCCATCATTCCAAAGTTAAATGTACATGTTTAGAATAACTTACTTTATAAACTCTTCGGGAGACATGTCGAGATTTGACCACAGTGAAAGCCACATTTTCCAGATGATGATGATCTGCATCAGTCTCACTTGAAAAGGGAATGTGAGGCTGGGTGTTGGTGGCTCACACCTGTAATCCCACCCCACACTTTGGGAGGTTGAGGCAGGCGGATCAGGAGGTCAGGAGTTCAAGACTAGCTTGGCCAACATGGTGAAAGCCTGTCTCTACTAAAAATACAAAATTAGCCAGGCACAATGGTGGGCACTGTAATTCCAGCTACTTGGGAGGCTGAGGCAGGAGAATGGCTTCAACCTGGGAGCGGAGGTTGCAGTGAACCGAGATTGTGCCACTGCATTTCAGCCTGGGCAACAGAGCAAGACTCCATCTCAAAAGAAAAAGAAAAAGGTGGTGGCGGGGAATGTGGAAGCTCAAGGTTAGTGTAGTGGTTGTTTTGATTTTTATTTTCTTGATTTTGTCTGTAGTCATGTCATTCAGAAACCTGAAGTGTGGATGCATCTTGCTGCTAACGTGTGATGTTGACACCTGACTGAATTTGAATACCTTACCGCTGTGCCTACATTTAAAAATACTTCTCTCTCTTACTTAAAAAGCTTTACCTGTGGTCTCTTCTAATAAGCAGTATTTCTGTTTCATTGTAAGATTGCACTTCTGTATTTTGAGTGACTCTAAGAACCATAGGCATAATACTATGCAGATTTCCTACTCTACCTGGCCTTGCTTCTAACAGTATTAACGTCTGGTCCTTGCTGCATCGTACAGTAGCTGTTCAAACGGCAGTTTTACTGCTAACTTTTTAGTATGGGTGATGCTGGAGTCTCACAACTGAAGTGTGTGCTTTTCTACTTTCACAGTAAAACCTCATTAATTCTGAAATGTCAAATAGTGAGTTAAGCCAAAGAATTTACGGAAACAAATTAATAGTAAGGAAGCCTATTTGAACTACTTAAGCAGTTTTAAAGCCCTTTTTAAAAAGTACCCATTGGGATTATGTGAGGTCAGGAGTTCTGACCAACATGGTGAAACCCCCCTCTACTAAAAATACAAAAAAGTTAGCTGGGCATGGTGGCACACACCTGTAGTCCCAGCTACTCAGGAGGCTGAGGCAGGAGAATCGCTTGAACCCGGGGGGCAGAGGTTGCAGTCTGCCAAGATTGTGCCACTGCACTCCAGCTTGGATAACAGAGTGAGACTTCGCCTCAAAAAAAAAAAAAAATTTATTTTCACATAGTTAAACTCACCTTGTCTCATGAATTTTGGTTGATGAGGTTTTACTCTAGTTTATTTTTCTCTCAGTGCATCTTGCTCTGCCGTTTGCTTGTTACCCTTTTGGTTTTTGAATGGTTGATTTTGTTCACAGCCTCTTTGAAATCTAGCAAGTCCTGTTCTGTTTAGTGAAGGCTTGATGACGACTCTAAGACTTTATACATTTGTTACGTAAAACCAAGTTTTACTGAATACTTTCAAATTTGTCCTGCCTTAGAAAAACAGAACAGAAATTGTAAGTCAAAGGTTATCTGTCTGCATTTTAAACTACCAAATCACCTTACAGTAAGTTTCCCTTTTACGACTTTGGGCTAAGAAAAGTATTTTCCTAAGCAAAACCTTTTTCGATTTTCTCATTTTAATATGTTAAGCTATTATGCTATAAACATTTTACTTTTAGTTTCATGGTTCTTTATTTTTTATTACCTGCAAGTTATATTCCTCTTTGTTGGATTTCATATTTGAGAGACATTCGCATTGGAACCATTGCTTTACTCTGGTTGGAAATGCCATTGGTTTGGGGACAGACTTTTAAAATGCCCTTTTGTCTCCCCCTACGGAGCCCTAAGCATTGACCTCTCCATCCTAAAACTGTTTGACAGAGGGAGAACGGACCCTGGCTTTCTCAAGCATGGGTCAGGGGGTTTGTCTTTTGGGGTAACCCCACAGGGGCTTCATTGTTTCTTTCTGACTTAAGCAATAGAGAGAATTTGTTTTGGTGCTCTTCAGAGGAGTTGTTCTTTGGCTCATAACTTGGCCATGTTCTCTATGAATTAGTTATCCTGTTTTTTTTTAAACTACCTTAAACTTAAGGGAAAAGTTTTCCTATCTTGATTTCACTGGAATATAGGCTTTTGGAGCTCTGTAAGGCTGGGACTTTTGTCTGTTTTATCTTCTACTGGATCACCAGTGCCTGGAACAGTGTCTGGTGCTCAATAAAAATGTGTTCAATGGATGAGTTTCTAAATGTCCTAATGTGTTGTGTGCATAGAATAAATCATCAAAAGAACCAGACTGTGTCTTATTCTCCCATTGACACAAAGGTTTTCTTGTCTCAGGAAACAAGCTTTATGTGGCCCTTCTGTTGGCTTTGGCTGCAGTTGCCTGTGGATTTGTTTCATTGTCTCAAACATTTATTGTTGTTTTTCATCCTAGGTAGCTTACATTAGTTGTTTGTTTGATTAGAAAATATGAAGCAGACAGACAGACACACACACACACACACACACACACACACAAAACCTATGCCAATAAAAATGTCTCAGCAACGATGGAATTCATCTTGGTGTTTCTTTCTACAATTTATGTGGGGTTTACCCCTCAGGTTTAAGAGAACAGGTCTTGCTTCTCTGTCTGTGCTACCAAGAAGATGTGAACCTGAGGATGCCTCTTGTTTCATAAGAAGGAAAACAGGTGAATACGTGATTTCTAATGAGGCCTTGTTGAAATAACGGGCTGCCCTCAGCTCGCAGAAATCCCACAGTGCGGCCACTGTGATGCAGAGCCCCGGGGGGTCTTTGCCAGACAACTTGTCCTGACTCAACAGAGAAGGCAGCTTAGCTTGACCTTTGAGCTGGCTTGTGCAAGCATTCAGTTTGCTTGCGTAGACTTCCAGGGAAGCAAGCCTGTCCTTCCTGACCCTGCGTAAGCTGCGTCGGTGTTTTCTTGGTGCACTTTTGTTCCTTTGTTAACCGTTGTACTGTCACTAAGTTGAAAAGCCGGGGCTCGCCCTTAGATGTCACATTGGCCCTGTCCCTGTGGCAACAGCAGGGCAGAGTGGCCAAACAGGTCTGGTGCTTATTCTGTCTTCTTGCCTTTTACTTAAATTCCTCTGACTTTAAAAAATGGTGAGACTCTTATCGTAAAGCCTTCTATTTTTCTCCACTGCTTGGATGTGAAACTGTAGAGGGAGAGGCCCTGTCGCCCAGTGTTCTCCTGCTTTACCAGCTGAGGTGACTGGCCCAGTCTGATGTGATGTAATTGTTTCCCTTTGATTCTCCAGTATTCCTGTTTCCATGCAGTTCCTTACACCCCTCTTTCCTCTTCCCTCACGTCTCCCTCCAGTCCTCTGTACCTAGAATAGTCTCACTGTCCCCCGTTTGCCTCCACGAGCCTGCTGTTTCCAGGAAATTATGTAACATTCAGTTGGGATGGAAATCTGGAGGTTGAAGAGAGTTTAATTCCTCATTGCTTTGAAAAGCCAAGTCATTTCTGTCTCCAGAGTTGTTCTCTGAAACTGATAGTATGAGCTCTGATAGCAGCCAGAGCTTTACTGTGGTGGGGGCTCCAGCGGCCATCAGTGACCAAGATATGGGGAACACCCACGTGGGCACCAAAAGGCCCGATGGGGCGGTACTTCCCATGGCTCCAAGGGAAAGGCACCTCAGCACGGCCCTGGGCTGCCCTGGCTTTCTCTGCCCAGGGCCCCATATCCTTGTAGGTTACTGCTGGACTTCCTATCTCTGTGCTGGCACAACTGAGGGTATCCTGGCTGGGAAGCACAGGTGGGCTTGGGAGGGATGTGCCCTGGTCAGAGAGAGTTACAGCACCACTGTCTGTGTCTCTAGTGGTGGCACAAAGGCTGAGGAAGCTAGATTTTCCTGTGAAGGACAGTGAAGAGCGCAGTGTCCCTTGGGTTGACAGCCACTTCCCAAGACCCAGAGTGCCTGGAGAGGACACAGGGAAGGTAAGTGCCCTGGAAGCGTGGGGCTGAGTCCTGCCCCTGGGGCTGTGGGCAGCCAGGGTGGCTTGGTGTTCAGTGAGCTTCCGCAAGGTAGGCAGAGAATTAGCACCTCTCACTTTGTCCCCAGGGGAAGAGTCTGGTTTTAAGAGCCGGAGTAGATTTTTAAAGCTCGTTGCTAGTTTACTTCCTTCATTCTGGGAATGCCTCCTGTGGGGCGGGTCACCGGCCAGAGCTGTCACTTGTGGCCTGAGGCCCATCTCCCATTGCCTCCCAGTCTGACAGCAAGGTCCATGCAGAGGACACTGGTGGTTTGGTGAAGAGTTGCTTGTATAAAGGGGCTGTTCCTATTTTCCTCATAGAATATAGGAAGTGATTTGCCTCAACTCCTCTCAGTTATTTCCATTCAAGATAAAAATAGTTGCACGTTTCTTGTAACAGCTCAGACGTTCTACAGGCCCCATTGGGTGCCACCCTGCGTGGGAATGGTGTGCAAAAGTCCCAATTTGGCAGTCGGTGCCAGCCACTGCCCCAGGGCCATTCATGAGGAGAGCGATTTGTGACTTACAGATACATTCAGCAAAGGAGTGCAGCGGGCCTGGCTGCCTTGTGCTGATGCCAGACTGAGTGTAGTTCATGGGGAAAAATCTGACATTCCCACGCCCACTCTAGTGGGTTCGCTTGGTGGAAATTCTGTTAAGTAACATCAAAAAGGCTGCCTTTTAAGTCACATGGCTTTTCATTTTATATGAACTAAAACCATGAAAACATTTTTTTTTCTGTTCAGGTCTAGAATTGCAGCTACTTACCTTAGAATGTTCTTGCCTTCCTGAGGGGCTGCATACTTGTCCGTGGGCAGCTCCAGCCGTTTCTGCAGTGGCTGCACGGTGGGAGGAAGTGCCGGGTGACCGCTGTCCTGATAGATGCCTGGGGTGGCCAGCCCTTGGAGTCCATGTCCCCTTCACAGAACTGGGCCTCAGGGAGGAGAGGTTGGCTGAAGGAGTGGGAACGACAGTGTAACACATTTTTTAGGCCTAAACCACAGACTTCTTTGGGAAGAAAGGGGTTATATCTTTCTACAAATTCAGAGCCAGCTACTCATGCCGTTAATGCGTGGTATGACCAACGGAGCGTGGGTCACTGCAGTGGCTCTCCTGTGGCTGACGTGCTCAGCTGTGACGTCCCGGGCTGCGCCTCCTAGCTGAGGAATTACTGAGAATGAGCTGCCGTCCCTTGAGCCTTGGTAACTGCAGCGCCTTGTCAGGTGTCACATCTCAGGTCATCCTCACCCACCCTAGGTGGGAGGCGCTGTCATTATTTTTTGGTCTGTCCTGAAGCTCCCCCAGCCCCTGTCATGTCTATTTGGGAATGGGAATCTGTTTTCCAGGAAAGGAGGCTGGGTGGTGCTAGGCCTCTGAGGCTTCAGTTCATTTAACTCAGAAAAATCCCCCGCCGCGTGACTCAGGGAGCTTTCCATGCATTTGTTTCACTTAAGGAAAATGACCTGAGGGTGAGATGGAAAGGGAATTGGCTGTTGCCAGGCAGAGCCCTGTGTGTCAGGGGCCAACAGCCAAGTGAGTGATCCAGGAAGTCATCCAATTGCAATCAGAAATTGTTCTTAACCCCTCACTGTCTAGGGTGCATAGTGGACTTGCCAGTCTGTCCAAAGGGGGTGAGAGTGAGTGCCTTACTCCGTCAGTTCTCAGCAGCCTCAGGGCCCTCAGGGAGCCGTTGGACATCCCAGGGGCTGGGCCTGCCGCTTGAAGAGAAAATGGAAGGGGTGAGAGCCAGTTCCTCTTCGTGAGGGGCACCTCCTTGGTCCTTGAAGTCTGTAGAGGTACCTGTGTGTTGGATGTTACATGTGTCCCCCCAGGCAGGACCTGCCAGGGAGCAGTGTGGGTCACCTCTCAAACCCTATGCCCCAGGTCAGCACAGCAGCTCGCTCTTGGACTGTCGCACAGTCGATGGAGCTGCTGGGAGGCCTTGTCAGGCGTGGGTTAACGGGATTTGTTTATTGAATCACGAAGTAGCTGTCACATGATTTTAATCAAAACACCATTTCCCTGACAACAGTGATGTCAGTCTTGTTATTGCAGGAAGGAGCAGCTGTGAGGGACATTCAGTCTCTATGCTTAGCCCAGGTTTGGAGACTGAAGTCAAGTGAAGCATCCATAAATAATGGCTGCAGACACAGCCTGGCTGTGTCCAACCCCCGCCTTTTCCTTTTCTCTGTGCAGACAGTCTGTCCTGTATACATACTGACTCGCTGAGACCACCTTCTGCCTCCCTTGACCCTTCTACTCTGTTTTCTGTTTTTTCCTGCTTTTCTTATTTTCTGCAGAGTGTCCCTTGGGCCCCGAGGGTCTCTAGTTGTGCCTGTTGACGTGTGTCTCTTCTGTGGATTTAACCAGCACCTGCTGGTGAACCAGGCCGGGGTCATTCTGCAGCCCAGGAACCTTGCTTGTGCTAGAGCCAGCCTCTAGCAATTGGGGAGGGCTGCCTGTCCCTGTCCCTCCCAGAGAGTAGGCTGGCAGGGCCTGTGGGCTGTCCTGGGGGTCTCAAGGGCAGCTCTGAGGAGCTCCGCTGGGGGGTGCCTGAAGGGGAGGGGCTCCTTAGGAGCCCAACCTCTTGGCCAGAGCATTAGTTCTCTTGAACCCAGAAAGATTACAGGAGGTGTGAGTCCAGTCGAACTGAGGACTGATGACAAAAACCAAAGCCCAGGGATGCTCGATCCCATTCCTGGTGGCCTCGAGCTAAGGGAATCGGACCTTTAAGTCCATCGGGAAGTCAGACATGGCCGGTGACTGGGCCTGCTGGAGCAGGGCCCTTCAGCTCTGACCTGCTCTTGGCACCTCCTTCCCTGTGGCGCTTGAAGACTGAGCTGTTTGCACAAAAACACTACCCCAGGCCTTCCAACTCCTTTCCACCCAGGAGCTTGGCCTAAAAGTAGGGGATAAAAAGGTCTTCCTACTGTGACACACATTCTCAGGTGTGTTCTTATGTTTGTGTTACCTGTGGCTGATGCTGCCTAGAGCTCATTTCCGGAAATTCAGAAATGCTGGGGCAGAGTTCCTGGTTCTTAGCCTGGAGCAGATGCTCAGAACAGCGCAACCACCTTTATGTCGGTGAAGACAGAGCTCACAGGCAAGAAGCAGCTGTTTTCTCTCTGGTGTTGGGGCAGTCAAGAGTTAAAGCAAGACAGGCCAAGTGGGACTCTTGACAGCTCTCCAGGGAGTGGGGGTCTTCCAGGCAGTGCCATGCCAGGCTGCATTTATTTGCCCCTCAAAGTAAACCCAGGGTGAGGCCAGCCAGCCTGTGCTCCACGTTACCACTGGAGACGCCAGCCTTTACAATGATTGGGCTGGGTTGGTGGCAGGGCTGAGAGGGCGCCAGGGGCTGAGGCCTCTTGCCAGAGGTTCTGTGCTGCCTCACGGACTGTTCCTGGCTGGAGAGTGGCCAGGTGGCGGCTCCTGGGCTGGCTGGGAGCTGGGTCCTGCTCTCCCAGGCTTGCTCCGTGCCCAGCCCTCTGCCTGGCCCTGTCATCCCTGGTTCCTCCCACTGCCTGCCTGCCCTTCTGCTCTCACTTTGCTGGCACAGGAGTGCTGCTAAGCATTCTGGCTGTGTAGTGACTGGAGGGCAGTTCTCGTAGGTCACAGATGGAAGAGACAAGCAAGGCCGTGGACTCCGGGCGCTGTCGCGTGCTTGGAAGAAAGGTCTTGGTGGCTTTTCCTCCATTCCATTGTGTCCCACCTCCAACTATGTGGGTGGCCCTTGGGTGACAATGAGTGGGCTCCTCAGAGTCCAAGTTGTCAGTCAGCCTACTTTGGGCATCTCACTTTTGGGGAGTGAGGAGGGAGCTGGAGCCAGAGCTCTCTCAGCCGACCTGAGGAGAGTGACTCAGTTCTCCCTTTGAGAAGCTCAATCTCTAATGCCTTTCTGCTTGTCCAGCTTTTGGGGGCTCAGCTCCAGGGGAAGTCTGCTTCCCATGCTGCGTTCCCTCCCTTCTTTCTTCTCCCTCCCAGACCCTGTGCTGGCTCAGTGGCTCAGCCCAGCTCATGCTTTCCTTGGGCTTGGACTCTCTTTGCCAATTTCAGAGCAGCTCTGAGTCAGTCTGCCGTAAGAAATCCCCCCAGAAACAGACAAAGGGAGGCAGCAGCAGGAAGGCTTGCTGGAAAGACCAGTGGCAGAGGTGCCCGGCAAGCTCCCTGTCCTGCCTGACCTTGGATTTGGCCTGAGTGATTTGTGGGCACAGCTTCATACCTGGGAGGAAGCAGGTGTGCCAGTGACGCCCGTCTGAGGGAGGGCCCAGGCCCTTCGCTTCAGTCAGGACCCACATCTGCCTCCTAAGGGACGCAGTCCAGGGTGATTCCTGTGTGATAACCCATTGCTCAAGGGCTGCTGCTCAGCTTTTGAAGTCACTGGCGGGGCTGAAGTGAGAGTGGCAGAGCTATGCTCTCAGCCTGCAGGGCAGAGAGCTGTGTTCTGTGCAGGTGACATTTCCTTTTTAGCCACATAGCATCCAGGATTTAGTGCATAAAGACCAGAACTTCCTCCCATGGTGCCAACAGGCTACTGGCAGGGCAAGAGGCTCCTTGTCATCTGGATCCACCCAGGGATGGAGTAAACCCCTTCAGCAAGGAGGGTCCCTGTGAGCTTTTTTTTTGAGACTGTGGCCCAGGCTGGAGTGCAATTGCATGATCTCTGCTCATTGCAACCTCTGCCTTCCAGGTTCAAGTGATTCCTCCCAAGTAGAAGGGATTACAGATGCCTGCCACCATGCCCGGCTAATTTTTTATTTTTTAGTAGAGATGAGGTTTCACCATATTGGCCAGGCTGGTCTTAAACTTTTGACCTCAGGTGATCCACCTGCCTCTGCCTCCCAGGGGTTCCTAACTTTGGTCCATGGCAGGGAGGGGGACTTCATGGGGCCCAGGAACCAACCTCTGTCCTGAAATTCTATGTCCCAAGTTCTGGGTCTGTGTACATACTGTTTGGGAAGAGTTCATAGCTTGCTTTTCTCAGTGTGTCAAGGGGCTCTGCAAGCCCTTGATTTAAGATCTAGTGGGGCAGAAAGCAGCTCCTTGCCAAGAACAGAACCTCGGGCCCTGTTCTCACCTGTCCTGCATCGTGATCAAGGATTTGGGAAGTGCAGGCTCTGCTGGCCGGTTGCTTCCACAGGGTAGAGGCCCTGGGTTTGGGGTACAGGACACCCTGTGGCTCTCCTTCCCCACCCTGGTGGAGCCTTCGACTCACAAAGGCTGCAGAACCGAAGGGTGTCCTGGGGAGTGCGGGTTAGGGGCCTGGCTGGCCGCTGGTCTGTTATTTTGCCTGCGTCCTCGGGCACTGGAGTTGTTTTTGGCAACACGGAATAAGAATGGAGAAATTTGGTGGGAAAGGAAAAAGTCTGCAAAACATCGTTATGGAAATTTAGTGCTTTCCTTAAAAAAGAAATGAAACTCAGCAATACTGAAATTTTGGGTAGCCAAGGGATAACCGCCAGTTTAAGGCAGGACTGAGCGATTGTCAGTGGAGCCGGGCAGAAGTGGAAGGCAGTGAGGCTCTGCTCCTTCCAGCCTCTGGCAGTGTGGTCGGCCCTGCCGACTGCACCCTCCCACCGCCACCCTGCAGGGTGGGCACTGTCTCGGTTCTATAGCATGGGCTCAGTTGAAATGGTGTTAGTGAAACCAAATTTCAGTCGAGACCTTGCTGCCAGCAAGCTGGATGTAACAGTGGCCTTTCACTCCGGGCCTGCCACTGAAACAGGTCCAGGACTCAGGAGAACAGCGTGGCTTATGGTGTCTCCAGCACCCTGAGGACACGGAGCTGGGCCTCAAAAGGGTGCCTGTCCCTGTGAGGGAGTGCATTGTGTGTGTGTGTGTGTGTGTGTGCGCGCGCGCGCGTGTGCGCTCGCACGTGTGGTGTTGAGGCCTTTGGCAGACCTCAGAGATGTGACGTCGTGACTAAGTAGCAGTCTTTTGCCTGGCAGCTCGCAGTACCCCCCTCCCATTTCCATCCCCTGCTCTGCAGCTGCCTGTCCTCGGAGAGCCCCACGAGAGAGCCCTGTGCATCTGCCGCCCCTCCTCCTACTGCAGCACGAGGCCCTTGCCCAGACTACCTGGGCCAATGGGCTTTGCCCTGGGACTCTGAGAATCAAGGAGCAGTAGTTAAGCAGTGCCCAGCAGGGCCCTGTCCTTGTGCAGGCTGCGGTTAGCAGTGCTTCCGTCAGCGATCTCCGGCGGCTAACGTGTACTCAGGCGATTCGGAGCAAGGTATTATTTACCCTGCTGACGTCAATGAGAACATATTATCCACTGTCCTTTTCTGCAGCCTGAAATGAGCAGCAGAGCTCAGAGAACACAGCCTCTTCCATACTCTAAAATTCCACCCAAGGCCCGATGAGGCGGGAGCCCTATCGCCTTAGCCTGACATTCACACCACCCACGCTCTTAGAAAACAAGTTGTTTTTATTTTAATTCAAGAGGGCTGGAAACATAAAAACAGTACATTTTCCTTGCAGAAAATTACCCCATTTAAATTACCATTTGGTACAAAGATTATTTATTACACTGCATTTTAGGCAATTTTCTAACATTGAAGCACAGGTTACACTTTTGATTTGTTTTCACATTGGAGCTATTAGGATTTGCCCTCCAAATACCAAAGCTATTGAACTCACCAATCTTTTTTTTTAGTAATTAAAAAAAAAGCACACAGAAAAAATAACTACAATTAGATTAACTTTATCAAAAGTAACTCTTTCAGACCAAATATCCAGCAAAACGACCCTCCTCCCTTCAGATATAAGCAAATAATCTTGCCCTTTCTACAAAGTGCAAAATCTCTATATCCCTTTTATTTCTCAAACTGCAGTCCCCAAAGTGAAGCAAACCTTTCTCTCTGCTTCTTTCCCCTTCAGAGATTTTGGTGAAGGCAGGTTTCTTTTACCACCCATGGCTGAGAGGTCTCACCACTTGAATTTCCTTGACTGAGCAAACCTTCAGCAGACAGGCACCAGAGAGCCAGCAGCAGTCCAGTTATCTGCATGGGGGAATGCGACATTATTCCATCTGGGGTCATATGTTTCCAGGATGTTGTTTTGAACTTCTGTTTTTAAAGCTCCCCCCACCCACCCCCTTTGCCTCTGAAAGGACAGTATTAAGTCAAAGTCTGTTATTACTTTTTTAATCCTAAAATTATCTAATAAGCACTTCTGTTTGATGGGGCTTTGCTGTAAGGCAATGTTACACTCCTCCTTGAGACGAAGGCTGAGTTCATGACCGTTCCTGGGGTGGAATCTGCTGGCCGGCAGTGGTGGCCCCATGCCATGCAATGCGGCTCCTTGGCAATCGAGGAGGGGCGTGTTCTGTAGGAAACTGCTCTATTGTAACGGAAAAAGTAGACATCTTTGAGGTGAGCCTAAGCTTCTGCAGTTAACTGGATGCTGAGGAGCAGGTGGGTCTGTGGGGTCTTTGTCTCTCTCAGCCTGGTGCAGTGCATGGCCACCTGGACAGCTGCACTGTCACCTGAAGGCGGCCTCTCCCCCAAACAGGTGGCTGTTGAGTAGAGAATAAGGTTGTAGGAACAATGTCACATCCACCCTATGCTTGACAAAAATGGGGGCTTTGTTTATACAGCTGTTTGCTTGTGAAGAGTCAGATGCTACTGAGGAAAGAGGGGGGAAAGAGAGGGCTTCTTGCAGAGCACCAAAGCCAGAAGCCAGTCAAGCCAAGCACTTGTCCCAGCTCCTCCACTCACCAGCTGTGACCTCAGAGAAGTCACAAACTTCCAAGAGCTTTGGTTTCTTCAGCTGTGAAAAATAAGGACAGTATCTCCCCCAACTCATTGTATAGAATCGTCGTGAGGATTAGAAGAGATTGCTTGTGAAGGTGTTTGGTAAAACTGATGTACAAATGTACGATATTGCTCCCTTGCGGGTAGGCAAGCGGGGTATCTGGCAGAGCCCATCAGAGCTCTCCTGGGTGGGTCTGCAGGCAGGTTGCCGCCTGGTTCTCTATCTGTGCCCGTCTGTGTCTGAGTCTGCTGATGCATTGAAACCTGCCCGGAGATGGGTGCACCTAGGATGGCTTTTAGTTTTTTTTTTTTTTGAGACAGATTCTCCCTCAGTTGTCAGGCTGGACTGCAGTGGTGCGATCTCAGCTCACTGCAACCTCCACTTCCCAGGTTCAAGCAATTCTCCTGCCTCAGCCCCCTGAGTAGCTGGTACTATAGGCATGCACTGCCACGCCTGGCTAATTTTTTCTTTCTTTCTTTTTTTTTTGTATTTTTTTTTAAGTAGAGATGGGGCTTCACTGTGTTGGCTAGGATGGTCTTGATCTCCTGACCTTACCATCCACCTACCTTGGCCTCCCAAAGTGCTGAGATTACAGACGTGAGCCACCACCCCCAGCCAGCTATAAAGTCTTTTAGAATCAGCCAGGCTACCTTAATTGGGAAAAAAAAAATGGGAAAATAAGTATGTGAGAGGCTACTGGGAGGCGAAAGCCTCCACTGTCTTTGTGCACCTGCCACCAAGAACCAGACAAGAACTCTGACATCACAGGTGCTTCAGACCACACTGTGGAACCTGTCAGGAGGGAGACAGAAACTTTATGAAAATCTCTTTGTCCAGTTTAGAAACAGAGGCAGAGGATACTGCTCGTCTTTCATACATCACTCTGAAGATAAGTTTTATAAAAAAAACTCCAGGTTGGGCGTGGTGGCTCACACCTGTAATCCCAACACTTTGGGAGGCCAAGGTGAGTGGATTACCTGAGGTCAGGAGTTCAACACCAGCCTGGCCAACATGGTGAAACCGTCTCTACTAAAAATACCTAATCTAGCTGGATGCAGTGGTGCACACATGTAGTACCAGCTACTTGAGAGGCTGAGGCAGGAGAATCGCTTGAAGCCAGGAGGCAGAGGTTGCAGTGAGCCAAGATGACACCACTGCACTCCAGCCTGGGTAACAAAATGACACTCCATCTCGATAAAAACAAAAATCAAAAACCCAGAAGCAACAAAATGATCAAAGAGCCCCACCTGTACAATGACTCCAACTTGTGGCCCTCCCTGTTCTCCAGTTTTCATCTTTGTGTCTAGGCACCAAGAGACTGAGCGGCTTGGGTGGCTTCTGAGGAGGCAGTAGAGGCAGCTGTTTAGGGGTTCGAGTGCAGCAAGTCACTCAGTGCCAGAGTCAGCCACTGTTCATGGGGACCAGTGCTGTGACATGACTGCGTATTGTCTCTACAGGAGGTTGAATGGGAAAGTTATCTGGAGTATGAGTTTCTTCTAGCCAATAGGGAGCTTAAGTGTGACTGTTGGTACAGGTTTTAAAATGTAATCCAAACGTATTTATGAACCTGGGGCTTGACTAGAGGCTGGAGGACCCACAGAAGGAGCACCGCTCACTCACTCTGACCTTGCATCCTGAACTGCCCGCGTGGCTCCAGAGGGTGCTCTGGTGCCCACATGCCTGGGACCTGGAGCAACTGTGACCCCAGGCTGCTGCTTGTCACCTTGCCTTAGTTTCTGGTTGATCACCTAATCACTCGAGCTGGGAATATCCTTCTCCCCACGTCTAACCCATGGGCAGGATTCTGTGAGCGTTTCCCTGCCTTTAGGACTGATGACACTCGGTGTGTGGGTGGGGGTGGGGGAGTCCGTCTCAGGAGGAGTCTCTTCTGCTGCAGCCTTCAATCAATGAGAGAGGGTAGGGGGCAGGGGAGAGGCTGATATTCCTACAAGGGGTTCCTCCTTGCTCCCCATCAAAGCACAGAACCCCTCATTACTCCAGGGCCAGAGTCAGGAAGGGGCACGAGAGGTGAGGGCTGGCTTCAGTCCTGGGCTCCTGTCCCATTCACTGACTCCAGGACAGGTTTAAACACTTAGGAGTTCTTGATTTCTGAGGGAGAATGGGCCACTGACTTTTTCTTTCCTAGGAGGCAAAGGTGGATGGAGAAGAGAAGGGGTTTGCTCAGATCTGCATGAACGGTCCCTGAGCCCCAGCTCCACTCCCCTGGTGGGCCCTGGTGCTCTCCCGCACATGGATTCTGGAGGTGGTCAGTGTAGACCATCAGCCTCCTCCTGTTCCCATGGTGGCAGAGGGCGGTGCAGGCAGAGGTGGCGAGGGGGCAGCTGGGATGGTTGGAGTCACTGGGAATGCGAAAGTGGACCCCTCTTCCTGTCGGGCTAAAATGCTATTTGCCTTACAGGAGCCAGCATATCAGTTGCATGGAAATACTAGAGACACACTTGCCCAGCTGGAAATTGCAGAGCGAGTGCATTTCTCCCAGAGCAGAGACTAATACCCTGGATTAAAACAAAGAACATAAAAAATAAAGTACCACACATATGTACACTTTTTGCCGAATGAAATTTTTACCTCACGTTCATCTCACCAGAGTCTCTTCAGAGGAGCCTGGTTTACAGGATGAAGCAAATGGTGATGATACAGTAGTGTACACACTGCTCATGTGAAGCAGACTGGAGAGCAAGTCAGTGCTTCCAAACAGCCCCGCAGAAAGAGTGGTGCTAAGCCTTCTTAGTGTTATGTTAGTACTGGTGAAGAGAAAACTGCTTGGAAGCTTCCATGGGTCACTAGTTGGGGACAGGACAGCAGACGTGATCAGACAGGGCTGAGCAAACACCTGCCTGACCAACAGAACCAGTCTCCTCGGCAGCTTACACTGCAGTCAGTACACAGGGTTATGGGATTCATTGATTTGTGCCTGAAATAAATGAGGAGATAAGCAAATAGGAGCTTACAACAGGTTCCAGCAGGAGGGATCCTGCGCTGCATCAGGCTGGTGTTCACACCACTGCTGTGCCTGAGGGTTCCTGATGGGCCTGGCTACTGCAGGAGGTCTCTCGATTTCTCTCTGGGTCCTTAACCTTCAAATAGCCTCTCTGCAGTCCCTTGTCTGTCCGCCTAACCATCCTGCCTTAGCTCCCTGGTCTCCTGGACTAAGCAACTCATGGTATTGTTGGGGGCTGGAGTTTATGTCAAGCTGTAACTGTACCATTCCTGCAGTTCCTGGAGGAACTGGAAGGCATTTTAATATCACAAATACTGCAGCAGCACTTCTGTAGTATATCTTGGGACAATGTCTTCCTTCAGTCTAAACAAATCAAGCCCCATTTTATAACTGGCTATTTTGCAAAGACTCAAAACAGATTAGAGATCTTAATGAAATGATCTCTTCAATGAAATCATGTTCTTTATTATTTCACAAAATCATCAATCTTAAGCATGAGTAGGAATAAACTCCCAGAAGGAGCTTCATTCATTCTTCCTGGGTTTTCACGGTGTGTGATTAAATCACAAAACGACAGTCCCCCCACACTGCCCTTTCCCACTAACACCCAGAGTCCAACCGCGAGCACAGTGCCTCTGCGAAGCATCCTGGCACCCATGGTGAGGGCTGGCGACTAGGCAACCTCTGGCCAGCAACAGGGACTGCTCAGGTTACCGACGGGGGTTCGCATGGCCAGAACGGAACCCCTTAGGCTTTCCATGCGTCCTCACCTGCCTGGACATTAACTACAAAGAGGAAAGGCAACTTAAAGGTGTTTTCTAGATGCAGCATCAGTTAGTGTCTCTGTGCTTTAAAGAAGATGCTTTGTGCTTAACACACTCATCTGCTGATGGAACAAGCCATTCTGAAGGGCAGAAACGATCTTTAGAATTAACACTGGATTTGTAACACCCGGATGTTAACTGTCCAAACGACAAATGACTCATCACTTCTAGGGATACAGTTAGCTAGCTGTGGCATCTATTTTTCACTTACTTTGATGACTGAATTGTAAGCACTGGTTAAGTTTTATTAGGAATATAACGAGTTTGGCAGATGATCTGCCTAAATGGTTAACACATCTGTGGTTCTTTGAATATTGCTGTAATACTTGAACATTTCATTACAGTCAAAACTTTAAGGAAATTAAGAATGCTGATTCCCACATGGTGGAAAACAAACTCTGAAGTGACTTTGGATTTAGCATTGACATACATGGAAACTGTTGGTTTCTACAGAAAAGAAAGAATTAAAGCATGATCTGGGGGAAAGGCACAGCACTACCACTTCACATGGGATGTAAAAGTTCTTTTTTCGTGTCCTTAAAATCTCTAAGCCCTATATGAAACTGTCCAAATATACAAAGCTTAATAAACTACTAGCAACATATAGTGTAAGGTCAAAGTAGTTATTACATTGGAAAAGAGACAACAGGTACCCTGGAGACCGACTGCCCCCAAGCCAGCAGGGTCCAGGAGACTGCAGGAAGAGCCCGTCCTCCCTGGCCCAGGGCTGGTGCTCTTGATGCTTTCTTGAGTTTCTTTCCCCCTGCCTCCACTGTGGCGGGTCTCCTGTCAGTTCCATGTGTGACACCTTTGGAGTCCTGAGTATATTCTGACACTCGGCAACCCAGGGCACCTTCTGAAGACGTGTGTCACCTGCTCCTGAATGGACATGAAGGTGGTCTCAGGGGTAGCAGCTGTTACGTAGTGGCCCCGATCCACTGCTTTGTGACGGCCTTGGGTAGCAACTTGCATCAGCAGGTAAGAACTTCAGATTCAATGACAAAGCACAGCTTTTGATTCCCTGTGCACCTGATCTCCTGATGTCTTCTTGATATGCCTTGTAGCAATATGTTGTTGCTCACCTTCAGTGAAAACTATATTGCCTTTTTTCCCCATATATATGCCATAGCACACACCTTTTCTGCTCTCACCAAGGTTGCCCTTGATGATAAACTGATGTAATCCGGCATAAAACCTGGGTCTGAGTGTCTTCTTAGGAACTGAGTGCCTCCCTCGAGGGCTTGCTCCCTTGACATTAGGGCCTCAGCCTACAACTATGTTCCAGCACTTGCCACAGAAAACTTTGTGGTGGGGCAGAACCAGGAGGAGCATCCACCCCAGCCAGGCCCTCTGATTCCATTGGGTGACTTGATTTCTCCCATTAGGGAGAGGGCAAGAAAATAAGCTTTAAATTGAAAAGGCTGGAATAAAAATAGAAACATACACTCTTCCGTCACCTGACCCACCTCACTTCCTGTGCTGAGACTAATTCACCAGGACATACCCGTTGTGTTGTGGATCCACAGCATCCAGCATTTCACAATCAAAGAGTCCAGGTAGCTCAGAGAGGGCTAGTGGGTCGTAGCTGGAGGGGGCCTCTTGCAGTCCTGGGCTTCTGGGACAGTCTGGCCCTGTGAGGTCGCTCTGCTGGGCTCCATCCACAGGATACTGACAGGGAGTGGGATAGTCTGGTGCAGGGGAAGCAGCGCTTGGCAGCTCGCAAGTCTGATAGGAGAACTGTAAGGGGGCTGGGGCAGCTCCTGGCTGTCGTGGCGGTGGCGGTGGTGGTGGCGGTGGTGGCTGCTGCTGCTGTAGCTGTGTGGGCAGCGGAGGAGCAGCCCGGGGACCTGAAGTGGAGGGCAGGGGCTGAAGCTGCATCTCCTGGTACTGGCTGAGGAAAGGGCTGTATTGCATCTGCTCAGAGGAGGGCTCCAGGACCGGGCTCAGGCTGAACGGTGGGGCCTGCTGAGAAGGCGATGGAGTCTCCTGGCAGGGAAGGGGCAGCTGCTGACTTGGCTGCGGGTAGGAGCTCTCTGCTATCTGCATCTGATTAAAATATGCCTGCAGTTGAGACTGCTTCTGGAGAAAGAGTCGCTTCTGCTGGAGCCTAAATTGGTGATATCAAAGGAAAGAATTTTAAGTCTTCTCAAGTGTTGGCAATTTTAATGCAAATGCAATACCAGTCACTAGCTGCAGTCCTCTACTTAAGTCTCTCTTTCTCATGTCAGCAACAACTGGGAATGGGAACCCACTGTGTTGTTTCCTTAAAACTAATCTCATTTTCTGCCCCCCAGTTCTGATGCTCCTTCCGTGCTAACCGTGAGCAGAAATGTACTTTCTCCAACTCGGAATTTTTCTCTTTATACAATGAGAGGGTGATTTCCCTTCTGGAGAGGCTGGAAGGGGAGAGAATAACACAGTGTCTGCAGTTGATAGATTGATTAGGGTAGCTCTACCTTGGCCAAGCTCCTTCTACCTAGCAAGGCCCATGGGCACACATGACAGTAAGGAGGACAGAAGGCTCCTCTGCCACCTACCCCACCTCTGTGGCTTTGGGCCACTGATTGTGAAAGCTTGGGGCTAGTCATACCCCAAAGAGGAAATGCCAGAAGAAAAGGAAAACAAAGTCCACCATAGGGCTGCCACTGCCCGACGGCAGCCCTCCTTAGATGCTGAGAGATGCTCTGAGTAATCATGCTCACACGGCCCGTGGCAGATGCGGAAAACCTATTTTCTTAGTAGTGGTGAACGTGAGAGGGAAAGGACAACACGTTCAGCATTCTCAAGGCTTCCAGAAAAGGAAGCAAATTCTTTGGCCAAAGCCCCCTTCTCACCTGTGTTCCTGCAGCTGCTGCTCCAGGCTCCGTGGTGGTTCTTTGCAATAAAGTTGACAGGTGTTCTGCGCCTTTGACAGAAGGCCAGGCTTCTGGAAGAGCAGAAAAACAACACGAGCGTGACATGTGCTGTCACCTAGGATGCTGTCATCAGATGTGCTTCTGCCAGCAGGATGAATCCAACTGTATTCTACAAAATCCACATGGGGGAAGGGACTGACATTTGCTCTGAGACCCTGAAAGAGCATTGGGACAGCAGGCCTGAGCCCTCTCAGATCTCACCTACTCCAGTTTCCACTCTATTTCCAAAAGTCCACTAGGACTATGAGGCTCATGGACATTAAAAAGCAATGAAGGAAGGTGGAGTTAGATCTTGAAAGCCCCAGAACCCGCTGAATGAATGATTCCTTCTTTTTTGAGACGGAGTTTCACTTTTTTTTTTTTTTGAGACGGAGTTTTGCTCTTGTTACCCAGGCTGGAGTGCAATGGCGTGATCTCGGCTCACCGCAACCTCTGCCTCCTGGGTTCAGGCAATTCTCCTGCCTCAGCCTCCCGAGTAGCTGGGATTACAGGCACGCACCACCGTGCCCAGCTAATTTTTTGTATTTTTAGTAGAGACGGGGTTTCACCATGTTGACCAGGATGGTCTCGATCTCTCGACCTCGTGATCCACCCATCTCGGCCTCCCAAAGTGCTGGGATTACAGGCTTGAGCCACTGCGCCCGGCCGAATGATTCCTTCTTTACAAGATCTACGATTTAGCACTTTTTCAGATTTTTATGTACCAACATAGAAAGGCCATGTAGAAATTTTGTAGACTTAAGATTTTCATTTTATTTATTACTCATTAAGTGGAATATAATTAGAGACAAAGAAGCAAGGTCTCCCGTTCCTACCCCTCAGTGGCATATCCCTTCGTGGGGCCTGAGGACAAAGCCTTTCCGCCTTTCCCACTACCAATACAGAGCATAAGGCTGAATCTGCATGTTTCCAGAAACTACAAGTACAGAGTCAAACCTACTTGCCTACAAGCAAATCAAGCAGCTACCCTAAATAAATGCCAGGCAAAACAGGTTTCTGTTTTGCAGAAGGACAGATTCTGGATGAGCAGAGTAAGGTGGACTTGTAAGAAGAAGGACCCCACCTGGAGTCTGTGCTGCAGGTACTGGGTCTCCAGGCTCTGCCGTGGGGACAGCTGAGGATGTATGCTGGCAGGGAGAGTGGAGACGCTTTCCTGCTGCTGAGAAACTTCCTCCTGAGGATCAAGGGGGTGGAAACAGTTTTCAGTTCCCCATGGGGAAAAACGTCTCAGTTCTTAGCTGAAGCACCTTTGCAAATGTCCAAGAGGAATCCCAACTCCCTAAGACATAATACTCAAAGCTTTTACAGAGCCAGCGGGCTAAGGGCTTGTTACTCTGCGGAACATTCATGCATGTATTACCTCTAGTTAACAATTACCTAGTCAGTACTAGAGCAAAGGCTCTTGGTGTCGCCAGGAGGCCATTGCCTTCATGTGGGCCTTGAACTATAATCCTCTTGGATGCACTGAAAATAGGCTCAAAATAAAACCAGATAAGTAGCAGTATTGTATTTTTAGTCTGAATAATCCACTTGTAATATTTACTAAAGTAACACCACATCAAAAGTAGTGGTGAGAAGCTTCTCATGTGGGTGCAGTTCATTATTCTTCATTTGTGCATGTGTGGCGGGGACGGGGAGTTCAAGGGCGACTCTAAGAGGTCACTCATCTGTACTCTGCCCTGTGAGCCAAAAACAGCTTGTTCAGGCCTCCATGTGGTATCGAATACTTGGGAGCAGCAAGGATAGGTTGAACTCGTCCACTGACCAAAGAAGCTGTGGTTTTTCCCAAAGAATCTGTTTGCTCCAGGACTGGAGGAAATCCTCTAAGTGAAAATGACCATCTTCAGGACAGACTCATACCTCATCCTCACAGAGCCATCAAGGAAAGGGCCCAAGGTACCCACCTGAGGGCAGCTGCTAGCAGGGTCCTGGAGCTGAGGAGCTGTGGGTGCCAGGTTAGGGTCTGCCTCTGGTCCTATCTGTTCATACAGCAGCTGCACTTTGTTCAACTCTAGAATTCCTTTGGTTCTAGCCAGATTCTGAAGATGTTGTCTAAATGCTACAATTCCTGAAAGAAAGTACAAAGATCAAACAGTTTAAATAAAACAAGGCCTTTCAGCGATCACAGGTGATCACACCAACGTGGCAAGAAACCCCCCACACGACGCAAGTTTCAAAAGGCAGAGGAGGAAGGGCTACCTTGGGTGAGGGAGGTATCTGATGCTCTGCGGCCCTCTCTGAAGCTCACTGGAGACCTGTTGTGGACCTCTCGCTTCTGGGAGCTCAGAGCCTGCATGGCTGGGTTGGTAGGTCTGAGGCTTATGAAGGGAGATGTCACGCGGGGTGAGGGCTGATTGGTTAACATGATGTCCTTAAGGGAAGGGTTATCCTCCAGGAAGTTCAGGTCCCTCTGAACAGACCCCATATCGTACTCTGAGTCCACACTGTCAAGGGAGGGGCTGTCGTTCACGGAGAAAATTTTCCCTTTAAGAGAAAACAGAACAGATAAAACCAACAGCAACAGTATCTTCTTGGAACATAGGGTACAAAGCATAACCAGCTTGAGTCTTGACAATTACCATGTCCTTAATCTCCAATCAAAACATCTTTCCAGAACCTTTTTACTGGCCAACTTAGTCATCTTCAAGTTTAGCGGGGAAAATACTCCAGAAGTGGCATCTGTAAGATCTCTGCCACTCCAAAAGAGCAGAGTCCCCGATGAATCATACAGCACCCAGACGAATCCTGGGGGCTACGGGAGCCAACTCAGACATTTCAATCACCTTTGATAGCTGCTGCCAGTCTGGGTCTGCTACACCTGCTGAATCTGCTCCATAAAGGAATAAACTAGCGACTCAACTCTAGGAGTTGGCTGGCAGCATGACCACTTGCTGGTGACTGGAGTATGAGATGACACCATGGAGACTCAACCTGGTGTCGCCTCTCTACTGTACCTGCCCCAGGCATCATGACCAACTGATTGGTCACTTCTGACAGAGTGTGCCGTCTTTGCCCACTGCGCGTGGACTGAAATGCCTCGAAGGCATGAGTGGGGTCTTCCTCAGCCTCTCCTTCTGTCTCCAGCCCTTCGTCAATGGAGGTCTCCATCATGTTGCTGGGCAGTGACTGGCACCCCTTCCGTACCAGGACAGGAGGCACGGGGTCAAGCAGACAGCCATTTACCTACACGCCAGGAGAGAGGAAACTCAGTTTCTGTACCACTGAGACAGAAAAATCCAGAGAGGAAAACATGTCAAGACTTGTGGCAAATTAGAAATTAAGTAAAATATTTTAAAATGCACATGTTTATTATGAATGACAACACACAGATTAGAAGTGAAGGCAAGTCAACTGCAGGACTCAGAGACAGAAGCCTGTTATGACCCGAACTGGCACTGCTGCCCAGGTTTCTCTGAGTCATCATTACAACAATAAACAACTTTTTTAGTGGTTTCCAGAAGAACAGGGGTATATTACTTTGAGGCCTACCAGTTATTTTTTTTTTAAATAAGGGAAATGAAGAGAGGAAAGATGAGATTTTTTTTTTTAACTACATGGCTCATTGCTAAAAAAAAAAGGGGTAGTCACCAACATTCTTCTGTTTTTCAACTATAAGCATACTAGAAGGTTTTAGAAATACTTTTATGTTCATAATTTAAGTGCCTGCCCATTTGATTTAGTCTTTAATTGGTTCTATGTGCCTGAGGAATGGAAAGTAAAAATTCTATATAGACAGACTGATACCACAAAAAGGATTGAAAAAAAATTCCAGTGGCAGACAGCCGAAGCCTTTCATTGCAGAGTAACAAATGGCTCACTGGCCCCAAATTCCAGCAGAGGCTAATAAGCCCCGGTGCACTGAATTCTGTCTCCTCCAGCAACACACACATTATCAATGGTTCCTATCCCACAGGGGTGAGCGCAGCACAGCCCCTCCTAAAAGCACTCGCCCTTCCCATGCAGTTGCCATGCAAACCGCCTAATGGAAGGCAGAACAGGAAAGGGGGTGGGGTTGTGGTTGCAAGTTCTGGCTGGTAAAAGCCCCTGTGAGGAGGTAATTATTTACCTCATTACCTTAACTATTCCCCCGTGGAAATCAATCCATTTTCTCCTATGAATAGCTGCTCAGGAACAGCCAGTCATAAGGACACTCAGTTCTAAGCAGCACTTTCACCTGGAAAACACTGGGTAGAGCTATTGTTTCCTTTGGAAGCAGGAGAGGCTCACGTATGTGAGAGGGGGCATGGGGTTTCCCTTTGCCAGACACACAGGAAACTTCCCTCATACGGCAGCCAATCTGAAGGCACTGCGAGGCCCTTTATTTGGAGAAGGAGACTTGGGTGACTCAGATCTTTGTTTGCTGCAGGGAGGGGAGGGTTATTCCATAACATCCGTTCTGGGCTCCAGCCCTCACTTGGGTAAGGTGGCTAATGCATAACAGGGTTTTAAAGTGATAAGCGGTCATTTAAGAGGAAGAATGGCAGATGCTTCCTTCCCAGACTGGCCAACCTTCCCCATGGCAGCAGAAAGCAAAACTCTGAAACTTGGCCAGCAACTCTTACTCTTTCCTTGGTCCTTCCCCAGATAAATTTTCCTTTTTGACTAAACTTAATAGTTTCCCTGTAAGAAAGAATGGCTATTTGAGAACTTACATTCATACTTCTAAGCTCCTTAACTGTGTACTAATATAATTTTCTAAAACTAGCCAAGAATGAGTATGAGATGAAATGAATAAACCAGCAGAGAAAAGATCATTCAGTCACTATCTACTGAGCATCCTTACACTCACAGCCTCCATCAAAGTTTTACCAGACATTTCTTATAGGATAAGCCATACAAGCAGGTTCTTTCTTTTTCCTCCTCCTTCAACTTTTAACTTCCAGGGTATAGCTGCAGGATGTGCAGGTTTGTTACATAGGTAAACGTGTGCCATGGTGGTTTGCTGCACCTATCAACCCATCACCTAGGTATGAAGCCTGGCATGCATTAGCTATTCTTCCTGATGCTCTCCCTCCCCCGCCCCCCGTAACAGGCCCCAGTTTGTGTTGTTGCCCTCCATGTGTCCATTCAGCTCCCACTTATATGTGAGAACATGTGTTTGGCTTTCTGTTCCCGCATTAGTTTACTGATGGCTTCCAGCTCCAACCATGTCCCTGCAGAGGACATGATCTCATTCCTTTCCATGGCTGCATAGTATTCCATAGCGTATATGTGCCACATTTTCTTTACCCAGTCTATCATTGATGAGCATTTGGGTTGATTCCATGTTTTTGCTCTTAAGAGTAGTGCTGCAACGAACAGACTCATGCACGTGTCTTTATAATAGAATGAGTTATATTCCTTTGGGTATATACCCAGCAATGGGACTGCTGGGTCAAATGGGATTTCTGCTTCTAGATCTTTGAGGAATTGCCACACTGTCTTCCACAATGATTGAACTAATTTACACTCCCATCAACAGTGTAAAAGTGTTCCTTTCTCTCTGTAACCAGGCCAGTATCTGTTGTTCTTGACTTTTTTAATGATCGCCATTCTGACTGGTGTGAGACGGTCTCACTGTGGTTTTGATTTGCGTTTCTCTAACGATCAGTGACGTTAAGCTTTTTTCAGTGTCTGTGTCCTCTGCCCACTTTTTAATGGGGTTATTTGCTTTTTTCTTGTAAATTGTGCGTTAAGCTTTTTTCAGTGTCTGTGTCCTCTGCCCACTTTTTAATGGGGTTATTTGCTTTTTTCTTGTAAATTTGTGTAAGTTCTTTATGGACTCTGGATATTAGCCCTTTGTTAGATGGACAGATTGAAAAAATGTTCTCATTCTGTCAGCTGGCTGTTCAGTGTTTCTCTTCAAGCAGGTTTTTTTTTTCCTTAATATTTTTACTGAGTCACTCAAAATGCCTGGCAGTACCCCTCAATTTATGGTTTTACTTAAAATTGTCATTTATACATTTATTTTCTCATCTAGACTACAAGAGGAATTATGTCTTTTGTTACAAAATGTTTGCTGAATTCAATTTTATCCTCGGACAGCTAGAAAACAATGGCCTGATTTTTCATTTATCTGATTTTTCTCTTTTTCTTTTCTCTTTTTTTTTTGTGAGACAGAGTCTTGCTCTGTCACCTAGCCTGGAGTGCAGTGGTGCAATCTTGGCTCACTGCAACCTCCACTTCCCAGGTTCAAGTGATTCTCCTGCCTCAGCCTCCTGAGTAGCTGGGATTACAGGCATGCGCCACCATGCCCAGCTAATTTTTAGTAGATTTGGGGTTTGCTATGTTGCCCAATTTGGTCTCAAACTCCTGACCTCAGGTGATCCACCCAGCCTCCCAAAGTGCTGGGATTACAGGCATGAGCCACGTGCCCTGCCAGATGTATATCCTTTTCAGACCTGACGTGTACTAACTACCTTTGTCATAAAAAAGTGATTAAACAATGTAAGTAGACACGAAACACCTCCACTATACCTGCATTTTCAGGGTTTACCCTCCCACTTCCCTTCTGCTATTCAGTTATGAAGGGGGTAATCTGGAAAATCCTTTTATTATAGTTCTAATAAAAATGCTAAAAATGGGCTGGGTGTGGTGGCTCACGCCTATAATCCCTGCACTTTGGGAGGCCGAGGCAGGCGGATCACCTGAGGTCAGGAGTTTGAGACCAGCTTGGGCAACATGGCAAAACCCTATCTCTACTAAAAGTACAAAACTTAGCCCGGTGTGGTGGTGGGCACCTGTAATCATAGCTACTCAGGAAGCTGAGGCAGAAGAATCACTTGAACCCAGGAGGTGGAGGTTGCAGTGGGCTGAGATTGAGTCATTGCACTCCAGTCTGGGTGACAAGAGTGAAACTCTGTCTCCAAAAAAAAAAAAAAAAGCTAAAAATGACTCCTATGTGTATATATGCATGTATAAAAAAATTCATTATTTTGAGGAAAAAAAACTCTCAAAGAAGAAAGATTTATTCTGCAGGGTCTATGCATCTGCCCCCCCATATGGCCATGTCACCTGTGGATCTCAGTTCCTGTTTGGGTGCTTGATCCAACCATTCTTACCTAGAGCTGGGTGACTATCTCAGAAAGGCACTATTTTTTTTTTTGAAACTGCAAACCAGAGTTTCCATTCAGACTCTCTAAGGGATTTTACTGACAGTTTTAAGCACTGAAGGTTTCTGGGAGGTAAGGAGAGCTGAAGTCTCTTTGACATGCACAATACCTGTCCCCAGCTGAAAGGAGAAATGAAAGTGTCAGTACATGCAGCTATGAAGCATCAATCAGAAAACAACAGACGGGTGTTACAGTAAAGGCGCAGGAGGCGGAATCAACAAAAATGGAACCATGTCTCTATCTGAGAGTTTTCCTGTGTGTGCGTGTACTTATTTATGGGCCCGAAAAAGAGGTCCTAGGAAGGGAAGAGGGACAAGCCGTTTTGCTGACATAAATAAAACAGCCCACAAAGAAGCCCGGAGGATGTCTGGCCTGGCTGAGTGCCAGCGTGGCATTGCCTGTGTGGGTGGCCAGCTCCAGCGTGGCACTGCTCTTCCTACAAATGCACATATACCATCTAGCTCCTGTCTATATCTTTTGCAAAATCATTCATTTCCTGCCTGTTTCCTGGCTACAGGAACAATCACAAGCTTTAAAAATAGCTTGCCCTATATAATACAGCAGTCAGTGCCCAGTCTGTGTTTTAGGCCTGACGCCCTCACAGACAGGCCTTCAGTCAACTGCATTTTAATTCTTTTGAGGGAATTACACCTTTAAAATAAATGAATGACACTGCCCTAATTCATGTCTAAATTTCCGAGTGGGACTGTAGTAGCAACCACAGGCAGGGAAGAAAGACTGCCCCCAGGCAGTGGACTTGTCTCAGGGGCCCAGATGCTAAATCCTCGTGGTCAACGACTCGCTCCACACCGGCTTGTGGTAGCATCGCACTGAGCTGCCTGCTGCGGGCGACACCTGGCTGAACTCATGGTCGGCCTTCTTGACTCTGCCTTGCCTTTAGTTCCCCATTCCTTTCACCCTCCGTCTAAGCTCAAAATCTTGTTATTGGTTTGGACTTCTCCCTAGACCTCAGTATTCTATCAATTTTATCCGCAGGATCTCATTTCTGTCATCCCCTCCCCTCTGGGTTCATGGCCACACTATCCTAGTTTAGGCCCCATCACCTCCCTCCTGGACATGCTCTAACCTGTCTTCCTGGTCACCAGTCTCTCCTGTGCTCCGGTGCACACAGTGTGATTTGCAGGCTGATTTTCTGGTGTGCAACACGGATCACAGAGCTTCCTTGCTCAAATATCTTCAACAGTCTCCTGCTACCCTAACAATTGGTCCTTTAGTTGTTTCAACTGATACTGAAACCTATCCCCACATTGAAAGCACTCGCTTAGAGAAAACATCTAAATTTCTTGGCTTGCCGTTCAATGCTAACCTCTTCCATCTTCATCTCACACAGCTTCCCAGCGTATGCCCTTTTCCTCAGACCATCTGAACCCCCCACTATGGAGACGGACTTAGGTTTCCCTAGTACTTGCTTTATTAGTTTTGCCTCTGATGCAGACATCATGCCACGCCCCAGTTTCTAACCACCATCCTGGGTCTACCTGCCTCTTAATCCCCAGCTCTGACAGTTAACCTGGACTTTCCTGATCAAACAGCTAAAAGCAACTTCCCTGCCTCTTTCTGGTCTCATTCTGATTTATACTTCCTTAAGTCACCGATCATAATATATATATATCTTTTTCTTTAGACAGAGTCTTGCTTGCTCTTGTTGCCTAGGCTAGAGTACAATGGCAGGATCTCGGCTACCTGCAACCTCTGCCTCCCAGGTTCAAGCGATTCTCCTGCCTTAGCCTCCCAAGTAGCTGGGATTATAGGCGCCCACCACCACGCCTGGCTAATTTATGTATTTTTATCAGAGACAGGGTTTCACCATATTGGCCAGGCTGGTCTCGAACTTCTGACCTCGTGATCCACCTACCTTGGTCTCTCCAAAGTGCTGGGATTACAGGTGTGAGCCACTTCGCCTGGCCCAGCACACTAACTTTGAAACATTTCCAAATTGGACAAAAAAACATGTATAACTGATCACAAAAGATGGCCCATCATTTTGTACCTAAAGTGTTCTAAGCAGAAGAGAGGTAATAGTAATCAAATAGGCAAAGCCCAATTTGGCATGAAAGTTAATTTTCTGTTTTCAGAATTCGTTAGAAAAAAAAAAAAAAAAAGCTCAAACACTTGTGAGAGATCTGGAAACTTGAAGAGAGAAGGAACTGCTGAGGGAGAAAGATGAGGAGGGACTTTCAGAGAGAAGCCACGAGGTCTGACGAATGATGTAATGTCAAATGACTGACAGACACTGACAGGAGTTGAGCCTGGCTCCTGTTCTTAGGTTTGTCTCCACAGAAACATCACTCCCAAGTGATGTAAAGAAATGATGAAGCTCAGTAAAACTAAATACAACACTCGGGGACCAAACTGAAATCTCTCGCCAAACTGCAGGCTCTGAGAATCTCAAACACAGCTGTACCTTTGGGGTGTCCACACACTCTTCTTCCATGAATGCTGCCTCCGCCTGACAGCCAGATGCTGGAAATGAAAAGGCCTCCATGTTGGCTGCCTGGGGAAGGAGGGTGGATCGCAGCAGCCTCATGTTGGGTGAATGCATGGTCACTGGGAGCCCCACAGTCTGTGCCTGTAAATATGGCAAGAACAGACAGTTTGGGAACATGAATACCTTCTCTATAAATACACAAAGTTCTAAGAATAAAATAATTCTTCCTGTGGCAATTAAAGAATGAATATTTATTTATTGGAAACTCCAGAAAGATTTGGTGAAATATGTATACGGTGCAGGTAGTGAAGCAGACTCAGCAATCAATTACTCTGAAAGAGGTTGTACAGAATTTCATTTCTGCCTCGTGAGGGGATGCAGGTGACAAGAAACTTTTATGCAGGTGACAAGAAAGCTAGCTTTTGTGGGGAATCAAGAATCTTCCTAATTCAATTCAACAAACCTATTTGTCTCTTTCTTTAAATATAATACCCAGACAGATAAAGTCCTAGGAACTCAAAATTGAACCAGGGACAGATACACACCCCCCCACAAGTAACTACAATACAAGGGACGCCGAAGTCAGTGCTGTCTCTGCCCGCCCCACCCGCCTTTCTGGTGTAGGTGAGATGATACACATTTACTGGCAAGGGTGTATGCGAAGAGGAAGAAAGGGAAGCAGCAGTCATGTGGGGTGATAGGAACATCTTCCTTCCTTCAAGGTGATGCACAGCCTGGACTCAGCCTGTTGGCCCAGTGGAAAGAGAGACGCTGACTGCAAGCTATGTTTTTGAAGGCAACCTACTATAGAAAGCTCCTGATGGCTTGAAGTCTGTTCTCATGTCTCCTTTGTTAACTACTCTAGGGAAACAAGCATGACAAATGCTTCTTTTAAAAAATCATTGAAAAGGGAATCTTTCCTTATGAGAACTGGCAAAGATTGATTTCAAAGCTGCTGAATGATCCTTTCATCACCGTCCTTCAGAACTACCAGAATAATTTATTAGCTGTGTTTTGAACATAACAGACACTACACAACATCTGAGAAAACAATCATCACATGAGACTGTAAAAGGCAGAAGGATGGCTATATTTTACCGGTTATAGTTATTTCAAGGGATATAAAATGGTGAATTTTAAATTCAAACAAATCCAAGGGACAAAATGGTATGAGATTCTAGCTTCTCCTCTCCCAAGACCTGAGTTTGATTCCTGGCTCCATCACTTACAAATTGTGTGACCTTAATCAGGTTTCCTAGCTTTCCTGAAACTTATCTTCTTCAACTATGAAGGAGCACAATGCCAGCTTCACAGTGAGGTCAGGATTGTAAAAGGTGACATGTGATGTGCTTAAGTCAGTAACATCAATTCTTTCTTTCCTCTTCTTCCTAAAGCCTCCAATTGACCACAAGAATGTAAGAATTAGACTGCAACTGAATGCAGTCTCGTTCTAAGATACTAACGGTTTCCAGTTAGAGTCTCAGGTTGATGGTTTTCAAGGATGGGAGGATATGTTAGAAATATACTTTATATTTGAATATATTCTGAATAGATTTTCAACATACTTTATATTTGGTATACTGCAATATTAATATCACTGGCTATACTGTATAAGATAAAGAATAAAGTCACATTAGCAAAGTGTCAGTACGGTATGGATGCCCCCAAACAAACACGTGAACAAACACACACATACAAAACTGCATGCCATTCAGAGTGTGAGAAAGAAATAGCTTTCCTTGTATTGTCATTCCTCAAGCTTGTATTGTGTGCCACCTCTGAGGTTAAACAACTTTTTCCTTTCAAACATCAGGAATTTAAATCAATTTATCTAGCTACTATGCAAAATTTTTATCTAGTCACTATGTAAAATTTAAACTTCCCACTAAAGTATATTTGCTACATTATTCTTACCCCCATCATTAGCTTTTCAATCAAAGGATGAGACTGAAGATTGATTTCTACTTCCCATCTTTATTATACTGCTCCTTCTCTATGAAGGCAGTCTAAATTATTAAGGCAAAGCATGACCGAGGGTATTGTATGGAAATGAGATGCCCGTGTGCTATGACACGATGCGCCTTCTCAGTCCCTGACTCTCACTAGCTCGTACGCCTTAAATGGCTGCACGCTGCTGTGCCAGACCAAGCACAGCACGTGTCCTTGATAGCTTTCACATCCTACCTAGACTGCTACAACTGACTGTGGACCTGGTTAGAGGAATAACGAATAGGATAAAGGAAAAATGCTTTTTGTTGTGGCAATCACTTCCTAGGAAATAAGGTGGGTTTTAGGAGTCTTGCAATCACTGAGGGGACTAAGGAAGTCTTTTTGGAGTAAGACAGGGTATAAATATACAAATGGCATGCTCAGCATTACACAGCTGATTAGCATATGTTAAATAAATAGATGGTCAATTAATAACCCAAGGAAGCAGATATTATCAAGATATTCTTTTTATTTTTATTATTATTCTTTACACAGTCTTGCTCTGTTGCCCAGGCTGGAGTGCAATGGCATGATCTTGGCTCACTGCAACCTCTGCCTGCCAGGTTCAAGCAATTTTCCTGCTTCAGCCTCCCGAGTAACTGGGACTACAGGTGTGCTCCACCACGCCCCGCTAATTTTTTGTATTTTTAGTAGAAATGGGATTTCACCATGCAGGCCAGGCTGGTCTCGAACTCCTGATCTCATGATCCGCCCACCTTGGCCTCCCAAAGTGCTGGGATTACAGGTGTGAGCCACCGCGCCCGGCCAAGACATTCTTTAAGAGTGTCAATACGCAATGTTGTGTCCAACCAATTGAGATAACTTTTTAGAACACATGTTTATTGCTCTGAATCTCTTCTTTGGACTCTGTGCTTTCCAGAACCATTAAAATGACAATCATGTTCTTTCCTATGGGAAAATCGTTACTATCCCAATAGGCAAATACTTGTTATGACCTGAACTATGTCCTGCCAAAATTCACAAGTTGAGCCCCTCACTACTAATGTGGCTATATCTGGAGACAGGGCCTAGAAGAAGTTAATTAAGGTTAAATGAGGTCCTAAGGGTGGGGTCCTGCTCACACACAGTGGGTGTCCTCATAAGACGAGGAAGAGACATCAGAGATCTTTCTCTCCACACTTGGGCAGAAAAAGAAAGCCATGTGAGGACACAGTGAAAAGATAGCCAGCTACAAGCCGAGAAGAGAGGCCTCACCAGGTAGCAATCCTCATGGAACCCTCATCCTGATTTCCAGCCTCAAGAACTGTGAGAAAATGATTTCCGCTGTTTAAGCCACTAGGTCTGCGGTATTTTGTTGTGGCAACCCTAGCAAACAAGTCCAACGCTTTTTCTTATAGCTGTGAAGGGCAGACTCTAAACAGTAATTAAAGAACTGGAGGTAATTATTTCATTCTTGTTTGTCTACAGATGATGGAAACTTGCAGCAGAAGAACTGTTAGAGCCAGTGGTTAGGCCAGGTGTGGTGTCTCACTAAACTGTGTGACCTTCATCAGATCCTGCAATCCCAACACTTTGGGAGGCCAGGGTAGGAGGATCGCTTGAGCCCAGGAGTTCGAGACCAGCCTAGGCAACACAGCAAGACCTTATCTCTACAAAAAATAAAAAAAAATAATTAGCTGGGCATGGTGGCGTGCACTTGTGGTCCCAGCTACTTGGGAAGCTAAGGTGGGAGAATTGCCTGAGCCCAGGAGATAGAGGCTAGAGTGAGCTGTGATTGCCTCTGTGCTCCGGCCTCGGTGACACAGTGAGACCCCATCTCAAAAACAAAACAAAACCTCCCCACCAACCACACCAAAACTAGTGTTTAGAATTTATGAGAAAAAGATATGACACATTTTTTCTAAATAGTCTGAACTCAACTAGATCTCATACTTCCTGCATGTTATACAGCAAACATAAGCACTCCAGATCTAAAATGGGAATCCCACTGTTGTCTAAATAATAACAATGGGTACTGAATTTTTTTTAATTTTTACTTTTTAGGACAGAACCTTGCTGTGTCACCCAGACTGGAGTGCAGTGGTGTGATCTTGGCTCACTGCAACCTCTGCCTCCTGGGTTCAAGTGATTCTCCTGCCTCAGCCTCCCACATTGCTGGGATTACAGGCACATGCCACCATGCCTGGCTAATTTTTCTATTTTTAGCAGAGATGGGGTTTCACCGTGTTGCCCAGGCTGGTCTAGAACTCCTGAGCTCAAGTGATCTGCTCGCCTTGGCCTCCCAAAGTGTTGAGATTATAGGTGTGAGCAACTGTGCCCGGCCATAATGGGTACTTTGTAACTAGACTATGAACTTTTTTTTTCTTCTCAGTGGAAAATAACTTTGAGACCCCATCAGCTGCAAAATCTGTTCCTGGCATTAGGCTTCTTCCTTTGCAATTTGGTCTTTCTTGAGTGGTCCCATGAATGCTTTCTTCTCCTCCATGGTCTGGAAGCGGCCATGGCCAAACTTGGAGGTGGTATCAATGAACTTAAGGTCGATCTTCTCCAGAGCCTGCCGCTTGGTCTGAACCAGCGAGGACTTGCGGAGCGTTCCCACCATACAGCCTTTCAGCGTGACAAAGTCATTGGTCACTTCACCATAGTGGACAAAGCCACCCAGAGGGTTGATGCTCTTGTCAGACAGGTCATAGTCGGTGGAGGCACTGTTCTTGATCAGCTTGCCGTCCTTGATAAGGTAGCCCTGGCCGATCTTACAGATCTTGTTGATCTCAGTGCGGTGATAGTAGCCTTTCTGCCCAGCATGTGCCACAGGGAAGGCCACATGGGCAGGATGCCATGCCCCCATACAGGCCACCTTGCGCAGGCCTCGGTGGGTCTTGCGGGGCAACTTCTTGGTGTGCCAATGACTGGTGACCCCTTTGTAGCCTTTGCCCTTGGTCATCCCGATGACATCAATCATCTTGTACTCCCCAAACACTTGGTTCACAGGTACCTGCAGCTCCAGCCTTTCGCGGGCCCAGTCCAGCTTTTCGGACACGGTGCCTCCATTCACCTGGATCTCCATCAGGTGGGCCTTTTTCTGGCGCAGAGGAAGCAGGCGCATCTGGGTTGGGCAATGACGTGGATGACTTGGCAGTATTTCTTCATGCTGCTGAAGTTCTTCTCCAGCTGCTTCTTGCCATCCTCATCCTGCCATTTCCTGCAGTACCTGGTTGAAGGCCGTCTTCTTAGATTTATGCTAGTTCTTATAGAAACGCCTTTTGCACTCATTGCTGATATGCTTGGCGAAGACAGTCTTGAAGGTCCGGAGGCCTCGAGGAGTTTCCACGTAGCCCACAATGCCCACAACCACTATGGGTGGCGTCTTCACAATGGTCACAGCCTCCACCACCTCCTTCTTGTTCACCTTGGATCCTGGCCTGCTGACCTCCTGCACGATATGGGTCATGCCAGCCTTGTATCCCAGGAAGGCTGTGAGGTGGACTGGCTTGGAAGGGTCATCCTTGGGGAAACTCTTCACCTTCCCAAGATGCCTGCTGCTGCACTTCCGAGGCAGGAAGTTGAGGGACCCATGTCTGGGAGCAGAGAACTTCCTGTGAGACATCACGCCGTCAAATCCAGCCGGTAGAGATCTAGACTATGAACTTCTCAAGGGGAGGGACTATTTCCTGTGTACTTGTGAAGCCACAATGGCTAGGACTGTGCCTGGCACATAAGTGCTCTATTTGTCTAACTGAACTCCTGGTATAGGTTAACTCATTTTATCTTGGTAGCAGTCTAACAAAGTACATATTGCTGTTCCCACTTTGTATTTATGGGCACAGGAGGTCAAAGATGCTGACTTGCCTGAACTCACTCAGCTTGGTGTGGAACCCGAGGTCTCCATGATTCCATGGCTCAGGTTAACTTTGTATTAGCTGAATCATGTTATTTTCTCAGTTTCTTGCTACTATATCAAGAAACAAGTGATTTGCCACTTCCTTAAAACAAATTAGAACATCAAAAGAATTAAAGTGAGAAGGCTTTACTTTAGGCACATATATATCCATAAAGATTGAAATCCATTTTTTAACAAGTTCAACACTAAAACTCAAAATGTGAAATCTCTGAGGGGAGGGAGCCTGTTACTCGGCATGCAGAAGGCTCTCAGGTAAGCATGTGACTGAGCACCGAAGACTCCATTTTTAGTAGATGCATTTTCAGTTACACTAAGTAGCTTCCATTGAGACTTGGGTCAATGCATCAAGTAAAAAGGACACAGAGTGCTTGGTAATTTAAAAAGTTATCGAACAGTGCTTGGTAATTTAAAAAGTTATCGAACATAAGAGCCATGTTACGTATCTGAACTCTAAGCCAAATTAAATAAAATTTGAGATATCCTAGGGAATTTGCTCACAGTCTAGACATGAAAGGATATCGTGTACAATAACATATGCACGTGCTCAGGAACAACTGTTTATGTAACCCCTCACCACTCCCTCACTTGTGCAATGTTCAAGAAGAATAAAGAGACTTGGCAGGGAAAGCCTGCTGGCCCTGGGGCTTTCCAGCTTCCTATCCTTTTGTCTAGTGGTATTTACAAGAAAGAAGGAAGGGGTTCCATGGCATCTTACATGTTTTTCATTTTCTCTCCTTTCTCTGTCTTGAAAGCAATACCACTCAACTTTGAAGATTTCCATGTGCTCAAAGATACGCTAACTCAAGTGTCTGGAACTATATTTGTACATTATTTTACTCAGATCTGTATCAATACTCACATTTTATATATGAAGTATGTATAACAAAATATACCATTTACCTACTAAAATTAAGAGTTAATTTCCTTTTTAAAAACATACTCTGTAGATGCCAATGCAAAATTTTTTATACTCCTGTAAATCTTGTAAAACCGCCAAAGAAATACAAAAGTAAAAGTCTTCTGCCCTTATTTTTCCTTTGAACAAAGTCAGTTACTCACAGAAGTGGACAGGAATGTCAACAGAGCATACTAACCAACCATTCTTCTCAACCTCGACATGGATAATTCCCAAATCTCTAGCCCCAGCCTCTCTCCTTGGATCAAGATCCACATCTTCCTCCTAAGCAACTAAGTTAATGCCACCCCTATATTCTCAGGCCCAGGCTCAAGAACAGAGTCACCTCTAATTTATGTTGTCCCTTCCTCCCCAACATTTATTTATTTCTTTATCTAACAAGCATTTACACAGCACTTACTACGTGCCAGGCATATAGTATTTTACAAGGATTAACTAATTTAATTGTCACAGCATCCTATTATTATTGCCATTACACACTTGGGAAACTAAGGCACAAAAAGACCTTAAGAAACTTAAAATGTCACATTTTAAGGAAGTGGCAGAATCTGGGATTTGCTCCAGAGTCCCTGCTTCTAACCACCACCCTGAGCTGCCTCTCCAAACCACTGCTAACTTCATACAGTCTACCTCTGAAACGGTTCTTACACTTACCCCTTCTTTTCTATTTCCAACAGTGCCAATTAGTTTAAGTTTAGTTTCCAATTAGTTTAAGCCGTCAGTATTTCTCGTCTCTACTATAAAACTCTTCCAACTGCTCTCTCCAAATTTTTTCTTTTCTCTGCCTAACCCATCCTTCCTAATGCTACCAGATTAATTAGCTTAAAGCATGGATAGAATCATATCACTTTTCAGCCTAGCAGCCTTCAGCACGTCCTTGTTGCTTCCTGAATTATAAGTAAACTCTTAACCTTGGCATTCAAAACTCTTCACAATAATGCTTCAATTCACCACTCACCAAGTCCTACCCATCTGTGGAGATCTGTCTTACATGCCATCTCCCCTGTTCAGATGTGCCCCCTCCCTGGTCCTTGAAGGCTCTACTACAGCACTCATCGTTCCCTATTGTGAATGATGGTTGTTTATGATCTCATCTTACTTCACTCTATAGCATGATGTCTCTGAGGGCAGTGACTGTATTTTATATATCCTACCCCCAACAGTGTCTAAGAATAGAAGCTCACGTGTGGTAAATCTGCAATAAAAATCTGTTAAATGGAACTGAATGTACAGGCTAGTTACAGTAATTCTCAACATAGTGAATGATAAAAAAGAGAAACACCTCTTTTAAAAAACTGCTTGAAATAAAGTTAACTCTTAAAAATGAGAAAATGCTAAAGCATCTGAGAATCTAGTGAATGACAGGCAGAAACTTTACAGAAAAACAGAGTGTAGAGGATGAAATCCTAACCCTTTGGACTTTAAGATGAAAAATCTGTCAAACGTGAACAGGCACATGCACAGATAAGACTGTCAGCTAAGGGGGCATTACCTTGGCAACTGTTTGCTCAGCAATAGTGCTAGGCCGGCGCTGGCGGCCATCAAGTCTCTGCTCCACTGGGAAACTGCTCCTATGTGATTTCAGGCGCTCCACCAACAAGAAATAAATGGCAGCAAAGTGGTTATAGCTCTTGTTCTGCAAAGACTGAAAGAAAAAACAAGTGGTAAAGACAACTGTAAAGACCAATGCAATGATCTATACATGCCTAAAAAATAAAAGGAAAGAAACTGCGCGTTCTTAAAAATAGGGTGAAAACCAAAATGTGCCTCAAGATGAAAGCGGCTCCAAAATTGAGACTGGAAGGCAGAAACTTCAATCTCTAGAATTAATTATATGAAGGATGATCCCTTTAAGCACGGTGACCAGCCCTTTTACAAGAACAAGATCCATTTATTTTTCTGCTGTCACGTAGACATTCCCCAGTGCTGTCATATGGCCTCATCTCATAGCTGTTAACGGGTAAGGTCAATTAGCAACCAGAGCCTAAGGCTCTAATTCAATAGCTTCAACACAAATCCCAACCACTGCAAACTCTGAAGTGAATGGTTCAAGTATGTGGAGAACTTTCTGATGATTATTTTGGGCTGGAGAATGACATCTGGATGCTAAACTGAGAGACACTCTGTTCTTAGGTAATTTTTTCCTCTTGTTTTTGCAGTCCCACCCTCTTAAAACCTTGAAAATAAAGTTGCTTCCCAAATGCTCACATCTCTAGCCTGCCAGCTTTCCCAGATACTGAGGGAACAGAGAAGCAACTGCTCCTTTGGCTTCCAATTCCACCTGACAGTCAGCATGGGTGCTGTGCAGGGCACCAGGATGCAGAGCGCTCTCAGCAAAAATCACAGGTCAGTGGAATCGGCACACCCAGCTACTGCTCTGGATATACTTCGTGGACAAGTACAGCAAATCATCACTGAGTGCACAGTGAGCAAAGCAGAGTCAGCTTGGTTTCACTTATGGCTATGTGGGTTGGGGCAAGGCAGCACAGTCTGGAGCCTTGGTCTTTCACAGGAAACAAGGCGGCATTTGATATTCTTTCTTGTTAGGTTTCTTCCTCAAAAGCACCATTTGCTTTTTTACTATTGTAGCAGTATTAGAAATATGTATATCCTGTAAGCATGCTAACTATTCGAGGACAGAAATAAAAGCCAAGAGGAATTTTCCAGGTTCATGACCTTTGCAGTTCTATGACCCCTAATACTTCCAAATCAGGAGCCCACCTGTTTTTGCCTTCTTAGTTTCTCCAGTTCACAATCTAAATCCCCTGGCTTTCTTAAACCTGATACCTACCCTTCTTGTTTCCTGCTTGGCCCTTTGCCTATCTGCACATTTACATTCCATAGAAACTAGCTAAATATCTATGTAAAACTTCATGCTTCATCTTGGAAGAAACTTTCTACCTTGTATTTGTTAAGCTTCCATCTCTGCCTTTTCTGGGTCTTTTATAAATGGCAGATGGGGCAAAGAAAGGAATTTAAGAAGGTGGATAAAAGCAAATATAAATAGAGTCTGATGTCATCAATAGGGAACACTGGACAGTACGCCTACGTGCTGGGGATACATGTGCTAAAAGACCAGGATGACAGGTGTGAGCACGAAATTTCAGGTAACAAAGTGCAGCAGAACCCTGAAATCCCTTTCGTCAAATCTCTGATCACTTTACCTCAATGGTTTTCTGCTGATCTATTCCAAGGCTGTGCATCAACCGCAGAACTTGCTCATTAAACTCCCCGATGGATGGCTCGTTTTCTTGCTCTTGTGGATAGAGAACAGGTCTCTGGACAGGAACTTCAATGAGCATCCATTTATGCTCCCTGATTTGAGCTATGGTTAGCCGTTTGGATGGATCTAGGACCAACATTCTTCGAATAAGGTGCTCGCAATCTACAGAAAACATCATGTTCCAAAAGTCACATAAATCACCTTGCACTTCAGGGTTACCTACTTGACTCATGTGACTTGTACAAGGTTGTTAATCGTTGTATCTTCTATGGGGAAATGGAAGGTCAAACGAATAAACGAATACACACAGGCTACTTATATTTGTCAAGTTCACAGGGTGAACAAATAAGAAAAAGAAGAGGGTACAGGTCTATCAGATTCTGGGCTAAATGAAACTTTGTACTGAATTTCGCAACTGAAAATATCTAGAAACAGAATTTGATTTCCACTAAAGTAATGAAATAAGCCTCATTCCTAGAACAAGCAAATAATAAATTGATCCTCGGTCATATCTAATGCTGATATACTAAGGCTTTGTAGGAGAGGCAGAGAGCTCTCCAGTGGGCTGCTGTTCTCCTCCACATCACTGCAGCTGAGAAAAGTGTATGTAAAATATGATTCCTTTGGATTACACCAAGAAAACCACACTGCCGCAACTTTGAGCACTAGCATATTCTCTGAGTTGACATGATTCTCTTCACTCACACATAAGCTAACCTCCTCTTACTATAAGCCAGGCGCTATACTAGTGCTTTACATAGCTTATGGTTATTAATTATGATTATTTTTAGAGACAGGGTCTCATTCTGTTGCCCAGGTTGGAATGCAGTGATGCAATCATGGCTCACTGCAAATAATCCTCCTGCCTCACCTTCCTGAGTAGCTAGGACTATAGGTGCACGCCACCACACCTGGCTAATTGAAAAAAAAATTTTTTTTTTTTGTTAGAGGCAGGGTCTTGCAATATTTTCCAGGCTGGTCTCTAATATCTGGCCTTAAGAGATACTCCCACCTTGGCCTCCCAAACCACTGGAATTATAGGTATAAATCACCGTACCTGGCTGACAGATTAATTAAACCGGGTAATATCCCTAGGATAGGAGCTATTGTTATAGATGGGGAAATTGAAGCACAGAGAGGAGATAAAACTTGTGAAACTCATATGGCCAGTAACTGGTGGATTCAGGATGAAAAGCAGGCAGTCTGGGAGTCTGGCTTCACATCCATGCTCTTAACGATGAAGAGTATTACTTCTACTCTTAGTAGAAAGAAGAGTTAAGACTAATAACCAAAAATGAAACTAAGGGGTAAAGTTAACTGCTGTCTAGGTAACATCTCAAGACATGACAGGCAGGGATTATGGCATATCATTTGAATTTAGCAGAGTTTTGCCAGTTGGCTTTTTATTTAATTTAAAAAATTTTAATTTTATAAAATCCGTTTCATATTGGAGTAAAATGGTTGTGAATCTGTATCTACAAAGGGCTTCGTTAAATCTAAAATAAACCTGGGACATTTACAGACCCAGAATGAATGAGCAGACATGCTGCTCTTAATCTGGGAAATGTTCTGTGCTCAGTTGCAAGTAAAGGCTGGAACTTGTCTCACCTACATAAAGGAGGTTGCTTATTTCTATAGCTTTTAAAATGACTCAGTCACTTTATTTGGCACCCAAACTCTTTGAAAAAAAGAAACTTTTACCGAGGCATTTCACTTGGAGCACAAATACTGTAAAACACCATTAGTAAGATGAACAATTTGTTACCTTCTGACATGAAATATGGAATCCGAAATCTTCCTTCCAGAACCCTCTGCCTCAAAATCGGAAGCGTTGGTCCATCAAAGGGCAGAGCTCCACAGACAAGGACATAAAGAACAACTCCCATACTCTAGGGAAGAAAACAATGCAGAGACTTTTCTACCAAGAAGGTCAAACTCTCTTTGTTTTCCTGAATATCCTCAGGGCTCTTGAAATCATATGGACTGAAAAATTCCTGTCTGAATTTATAATTTTCTCAGAATTTGAAAAAAATCCAAAACCTTACTACAATAAGTATCTTATAGTAAATACCAAAGAATTTGAATCTGATCATTTTGATTACCACTTAACTTTAAATTACTGCTGATATTAGGGTGATAACACCAATCCTTAGATAGGCTTTCCTAGGGATCCATTTCAAGATGCTCTAATTATAGTCCAGAGGATGGAGAAAATATGAAATACTGCTTATGTGTTAAGTACCAGGAGCTTCTAAGATGGGCCAGAGCACCAAGTATTATCATTATAGATGCATTTAACAACACAGCAAAGCAAAGCAGTACCCAGATGTCCAGCTGTGGTCCTTCGTACTGCTGCCCTTCAAAGACTTCTGGGGCTGCATAAGGGGGGCTGCCACACCATGTTGCCAGAAGTTCACCAGTTTTAAAGAAATTTCCAAAACCGAAATCTATTGGAATGGAAATAAATGTTACTTTCATCTATGCTCTCAAACTATACTGCATTTCTCTGTAATAAATTTTATAATATGCTATATTAACAATATCACTACTATTTACTGTGAGGACTGGGATGGCATCTGTGTTGTGATGTTTCCCTAGCAATGACTAGTGAATAGTAAGTACTCAATAAATGTTGCTGAATAAATGTGCAAATGAATCAAGTTTTCTTCCCAAGGAGAGTAAGGCTTTATATCATGGGTGTTAAGGCTGAAAGAAAATCAGCCTTAAAGTGGACCACCAACTAGAATTCAATAATCTTAGAACTTCAATTACCCAATGACTGTTAAAGAGCTCTTTATCTTAAATGGTCTATACGGAAAGAAACAAGTAAAATTCTAAGATATTCACCTAAACACAACCGAGTGACTGGCTGCCATTACCCCATATATATTACCCTTTAAGGCAACTGAGTGTCGTGTTTCGTAAGTAACAACCTTCTAAGTGTCGGTCCACATATCCTGTTTTAGGCAGATACCCATCTGAATAGCTCATTAACATATGATAGCCATATAGCCCAGCCACAAGCCACCTATCACCATTACTTATTTACTAATTTATAGACTGCAGTGGCATTATAGTTCAAAACAGTTAATGGCCTTCTCCTTATAATCTTAGCTATACAGAATCTACAGTTGTGATACATAGAATGCACTCTGGAAACACTACTCTGAGACCTTCAATATGCATTTAAAAACTTAGTATTATTGTAAATGCAAATTTATACCCTTTTGCTAAGCCTTTATAGTCTCATGTTCTAACCAAAGAAACAAATTCCTATTATTTTGTTAAGTTATACTCATGCTGTCTTATGTTGCTACATACTCCTGACTGAAGAATACTGTCTCAGTGACAGGAACCGGCTCTCCACCCAACTGGAGTGCAGCATTGCATGCATAGTGGGCTTTAAGAGACGCCTCAAGAAAGACTGGATTGAGTCTCCACTGACAGAGAGACTGACTGGCTTTGTGACTTGGGATCAGTCTTTGTGAGCCTTAGTTTCCCATCTGTAAAGTGATAAATATACCTAGTCAGCAGGTGCTGTAAGGGCCCAATGTGTTAAAATAAACTCATTCTATTACCTTGAGACCATACATGCGTGTATGCCTTAGGCAAAGCCTTCTCTTAGCTCGCTAACATAAAAACTGGTGGCAGGCAGTGGGACCAGTACTAACAGTAACGATCCGCATCACCGCACTCCATGAAGAGTACAACCTATTGAGTCATGAGAACTAGAGCCGATTTCCAGTTTTGCCACTTTCAAGCTTCAAGTCCTCTAGGAAAGTTATTTTTTCCATATCTATAAATACAGGGATAATCCACCTACCCAGATAGGGTGCTGTGAGGATTAAGTGAGATTAAGAATGTAAAATGTCAGAGCATAGTAGACGTGAAAGGTCAGCTCTCCTCCTCCTGGGAAACCATACCACCAACTGCTGCCTTTCAGAGGAAAAGGTCCCAAGAAAGTAGATAGGAGGGGTAGAAAAAGTTTAGAGGGAGCTTAAGGGTTCAGGAGAGAAAAGAGGGTACATCTGGAGAAAGGGCTTCAGACACAGTCTAAACTGGTGAATAACACTGTGGTCTGCCTTTAGTATCCAGGAGTGTGAAGCAAAGGGGTGCCAGGGAGTTCTCTCTTTACAATGTAGCCTCAGCTCAGCTTCACAGTCCACTTTCCAAAATGTCTGTCAGAAAGGCCTCATCTTCACAATACCACCTCTATGACTAACCACTCCTAACACATCATATCCCACATGGACACATACAGATACATATTTCTAATTTTCTAGAAAAACCATACTCTCAAATGAGTCAAGGACTAGATGTTCCTATGAGTCAAAAACTAGATGTTCTCATGAGTCAAGGACTAGATGTTAAATGAGTCAAGGACTATGTTCAAATGTTAATTTCACCCACAGGATAAAGCAGCACAAGAAGCTCTGAGATGCGTGTTCTGAAAGCCTGAAATACATACAATAAATGCTGCACTTTAAACCATAATCACAGGATGAGTTTTAGTGCCTCCAAATAGCATTGGTAAGTTTTTTTTTTTTTTTTTGAGACAGGGTCTTGCTCTGCTGTCCAGGCTGGAGTGCAGTGGCATGATCTTAGCTCGCTGCAGTCCTGGCACCTCAGCTTCCCGAGTAGCACAGGTATTACACACCCGGCTAATTTTTGTATTTTTTGTAGAGATGGGGATTTGCTGTATCACCCAGGCTGGTCTTCAACTCCTGGGCTGAAGCCTTGGCCTCCCGAAGTGCTGGGATTATAGGTGGGACCCACTACACCTGGCTCATTGGGAAGTTTTTTTTTTTTTTTTTGAGACAGAGTCTTGTACTGTTGCCCTGGCTGAAGTGCAATGGCACGATCCCGGCTTACTGCAACCTCCATCTCCCAGGTTCAAGCCATTCTCCTGCCTCAGCCTCCTGAGTAGCTGCGATTATAGGTGCACGTCACCATGCCCGGCTAATTTTTGTATTTTTAGTAGAGATGGGGTTTCACCATGTATGCCAGGCTGGTCTCAAACTCCTGACCTTGTGATCTGCCCACCTCGGCCTCCCAAAGTGCTGGGATTACAGGTGTGAGCCACCGCACCCGGCCTCACTGGTAAGTTTCAATGTCTCCAGGAGCCCTTGTAAAGCCACTTCATTCTGAACTTCCCATCCCAGGTAAAATAAACTCCAAGGAGTGAATGGGACAGAGGCCTGTCAGGAAGGCAGCCTGGCCTCTTTATTGCTTTAGGCTCTCATGGTACACCTTCACAGGCAAGAGAACAAGAGCCAGGAATGCTTCTCTGGACCTGTGGTAGCCCAGTTTCAACTTCTGCTTTACAAATCTAGCACAAAGAAAGCTTCCTGTTCACTTATGAGAGGAGTGGTACTAAATAGCTATTTCTAGTTTCTATAGGTAATAGGAATCTAAAACTTGGGTTTAAAGAAATATTAAAGGAAACACTGAAAGGCAAGGTCACTAAGCTGTTATAACATTACATGTACTGAGGTCTTCTATAACCTTGTCAAAGCACTTTAAATGTTATATTTATAACTTCTTTTGAGACTAGTCTTGCTCTGTTGCCCAGGCTGAAAGGCAGTGGTATGAATCACAGCTTACTGCAGCCTTAATCTTCCAGGCTCAAGTGATCTTTCTGCCTCAGCCTTCCAAGTAGCTAGGACCATGGACTCATATCACCATGCCTGGCTAATTAAAAAAAAATTTTTTTTGGTAGAGACAAGGTCTCACTATGTTGTATAGGCTAGTCTTAAACTCCTCAGCTCAACTGATCCTCCTGCCTTAGCCTCCCAACTGCTGAGACGACAGATGTGTGCCACTGCTCCCTGCGTGTCAGGCAGATTTGGGACCAAATTCTGGGTTTTCTATTAGCTATGCAATCTCAGATAAATTACTTAACTTCTTGGAGCCTTGGTTTCCTCATCTGAAAAATAGGGACAATACTTACATTTTATAAAGTTGTTGTATTTATATAAATAGATATTACATTGTGATTGAAACATAGTAGGTAGTCAATAAACAGAAGCTATTATCGCTATTATTATTTATTATTTTATTCATCTGTCTATCCCATCAGACTAAGTTCCTCGGGAGCAGAGAATGGGGGACGACAGTCTGTATTCCCAGCCCTCAGTATACCGTCTGCAGACAACAGCGGCTTGATAAAAGTTTGCTATATGAATATATTGTACTTCTTTTAAAAGTGCTTTACTATGTAATGGGAGCTGATTTAAGCTCTCTGAAGATAATTTCTTCTTAGCAGTTCTATGAAGTATCCTTATTTTAGGAGAAAGTGGGGGTACAAAGTTAAGTACTTTGCCAGAGGTCATACAGCTAGCTAGTAATCTGCAGCACTGGAACAGAAACCAAGTTTAACTACTTCGAGCCTTCACTGTTAACCACCACCTTTATGTCTTTCACTGGCACGTCAAAAACAGTTATCTTTGAACAAGTTAGTAACTGTCAGAATTAAGAAGTGGTAGGAAAAGACACTTAAGAGCCTTTTAATTTCCTCACAGGAATATGGGTAACTTGCTTTACCAGTCTGCAGCTTTCTGCCTAAATGTATATAGTGAAATGCGGCCGGGGGGAGGATGAAATATGAAAATGCAGGATTTATTTCTTACTGCCATTTATTCACAGGAAATGGACTACATTCATGTTTCATCACACTAACCAAATTCATTCATTCCTTTATTAAACATCTGCATTCCATACACGTCAACCACTCTGCAAACACAGAAGTCTTGCACTAACACAAAATAGTAAGACTCTATCCACATGATCATCTGATTTTTGGAAAGCATTACGAAAACGATCACTTGGGCATTCGTCTCTCTCTCTGCCAGGCTCACATCCAGCCTAGCCCTGCTGGAAAGCAAACATCTTTCTAGTTTAATATCTTCTCTAATTCTCTGATCTGCAAGTTAATACCTAAAACTATGGCTATGTTCTTCAGACATTTTGCTTGCTATTATAAGCAAAACATTTATGCCATGCAATGTTGGCTTCATTTGGACTTTTTTTAACTTTCAATTTTGATATACTTTTAGATTTACAGAAGAGTTGCAACAGTAAATTCAGAATTTCCTATACCCTTCACCCAGCTTCCTCTAATGTTAACATTTTGCATACCTACAGTATGTCTACCAAAACTAAGATTCAATGATCAAAACATCGATTCACTACGTTAATTAAACCACAGACTTAACATTTCACCAGTTTTGTCCCCAGTGCTGCTTTTCAGTTCAGGGATTCCACATTGCATTGAGCGTCATGACTCCTTAGTCTTCTCTAACTTGTATTCATATTCTCTCACCTGGGTTCTATATGGCCTGAAATATCCATAGAAGATAGGATTTGGGGTAGTCTTTAATTACAGATCAGTTACTGACACATGAAAATCAGCTCAGCCCCAAAAGCTGAGTCCACTAACTATCTCTTA